TTTTTAATAAGCTTAGGATTTTTGTAGAAAGCTTTTTGAAAGTTATAAATATAATTAAAACGCATTTTTAATTCGATTCGACATTTTATAAATCAATATACCCAAAGCTTTTCAATACATTTCGCACCCCTCGATTCAAGAATATAATTTGTTATATCTTCTGTATTCTTTAATTTTGATAAAAATCCTTTTAAATCCATATTGAGTATATATTGAATAATTACTTTTTCTTCTAATTCTATAATCTTATAATTATTAACTCGAATTTCTATACAAAAAGATAAACCTTCTATTTTATATCGAAAAGTTGTATAAGGGATATTATAGAGTATAGCGGCTTTTCGAATGTTTAGTTTTTTATCTTTATAAATAGATTCAATAGCAAGGAGTATATAAGCTTCTTGATTATTCGAATTTATTATAGATTGTTGATAAAACGTGTGTTGAAAGAGAAAGGTGTAAATTGAGATGAAAGTGGGCCACTCGGTGATATGGGCCACTCGGTGTTAAACTACGTTAGCGTAGTTAAGTCGGGTACCCCACTTTCGGGCCACCCCTCTTTTGGGCCACCTTAAAAATTCATATTATATAGTTTTAAAACATTATTTATTTAATAATTACTCAGTACTTGAGACTACACTTTTATCATCATTATTAGCATCTCCTATATCAATTTCACAATCTCCCATTACAATTTGCACCTCCCTAATCTCTTTAATCTTAGAAAACTTCGAATTTGAATTAATTTTTATCTTGCATTTTTTTTTAGGAATGACTTGTTTCAATTGATACTTTAATTGCTTTATTCGATGTTTAGACTATAGAATTTCATAATCCTTAATATCGAATCCCTTAATAATTTTCCTAAAAAGCTAACAGCGAGTATAAAAATCAATCTCTTCACTTTAAAGGAATATATACAAATATAATCTTAAATCACTAGCTTTTCAAAGTATTTTAAAAGTTGAAATTATGGACTTCTTATTTTATTAATACACAGAATCATTATCAGAATATAAATTCTGATTCATAACTTCCTTATTACTATTCTCAAGCAACAATCTGAATATAATAGACTTAACGCGATTTAAAGGCTATAAACCTAAAGCTTTCTATTTAAATAGTATATTATACTCTATTAAACTATTCAATCATGCTTTCTAATAATATATAAGAAAATTAGTTTTTTTAATTACTTCAGAATCCAATAAAGAGACCAATTTATTAAGATAATGCCTATATACTTTTTTGAAAGATAAGAATACAAATAAATCAAGAGATTGTAGAATATATGATATATATAATAAAAGAAATAAAAGATGTATATTGTGCTTAAAATATTTATATATAAATTTAATAGTTTTATAATTTCTATACTTGTCCAATATAAGAAGTCTTAGCTTATCCAATGAGAAGAGGGCTATCTGAGGTATAAAAACCTTTTTAAGTTATTCTAAAACAATATTATTTATAGTCCATCTATTATCTATAGCAATAAAATACTATTCTTTATAGAACTTTAAATCAATCAGAAACCATTATTATTATATTGATTTTCTCTTCAATATAATAAAGAAATCAAAAGCTCTTCTCACGGTTAAGATATACTTTATAAATGATATTCAAACTTTAGAACCAGGCTCCTTTTTCTGAATAAAACAATATTCTGAATTTTCTAGAACTAGTTCATTTAATCTCTAGCCTTTTTATATACTTGCTTTATTTATATTATACCAATACTAAGACTTAATATAACAAATTAAGAATAAATCCAACTTTGGGAATTATTGATTAATAGTATCGATAATTATATCTTTAATATATATTAAATCAATTCTAACTTGTTTTTTAATTCTAATTTCTGAATTCCTTTAAAGAAAGTTCGTAATTTATTATTTTTCAAATGTAGAATTACCTTCTCTAATATCGAGGAGGTGTTTTTCAATTTCCCGAATTTGCTAAGTCGGATACCCCACTTTCGGGCCATCCCTCTTTTGAGCCACCTTAAAAAAGCTTATTACAAAAAGGGATCTCTTTTATTTATTCTTTAATAATTTCATAATGCTTGAATCAATTGATTTAAAATTTTGATATATCATTATTTATATTATATCTAAGATATATACTGAAGTTGACATTAATTCGGCTTTATATACAATAATGAATAGATATTCAATTCAACAAGCCGCTTTGGATTATAGGATTCCGAGGGTTACTCTTCAAAACCATATAAATAGTTATTTATCTTATAAAAAAGGTATGTAATATATGCAAAAGATAGCCCTAATATAGAAGAAACAATTAGCAGATTGAATATTAGTCCAAGAGTCTTTAGATATTAGTTCTACACATCAGCAAATTCAGGAAATTGGGGAGCGCCTCCTTGATATTAGAGGAAGTGATTTTACACTTGGAAAACGATGGGTTACGAACTTTCTTCAAAGGAATCCAGAGATTAGGATTAAAAGACAAGTTAGAATTGATTCAGTATATGTCAAAAATGCAACTATTGATATTATTAGTCAATGGTTCCCAAAGTTGGATTTACCCTCAATTCATTATATTAAGCCTCAGTATTGATATAATATAGATGAAGTAGGTATACAAGAAGGCTAGGGATTAAATGGACTAGTTTTAGAAAGCTCAGAATATCATTTTATTCAGAAAAAGGAGCCTGGTTCTAAAGCTTGAATATTATTTATAGAATATATCTTAACTATAGGAAAAGCTCTTGATTCTCTTATTATATTGAAAGGAAAATCAGTATAATAATAATAATTTCTGATTGATTTAAAGCTCTATAAAGAATGGCATTTCATTACTATAGATAATAGATAGATTATAAATGATATTGTTCTAAAATAGCTTAAAAAGATCTTTATATCTTAAATAACCCCCTTTTTACTGGATAAGCTAAGACTTCTTATATTGGATAAGTATAGAAGTTATGAAACTACTGAATTTATATATAAGTGCTTTAAGCATAATATATATCTCTTATTCCTTTCATCATATATATCATATATCCTACAGCCTTTTGATTTATCTATATTCTCACCTCTCAAAAGAGCATATAGGTATTACCTCAATAAATTAATCTCTTTATCGGATTCTGGAGTAGTTAAAAAGACTAATTTCCTTATATGCTATCAGAAAGCATAACTAAATGATTTAACAGAGCATAATATACTATCTGGATAAAAAGCTTCAGATTTATAGTCTCTAAACCGCGTTAAGCCTATTATATCCAGATTGTTACTTGAGAATAGCAATAAGAAAGTTACAAATCAGAATTTATATTTTAATAATAATTCTGTATATTAATAGAATAAGGAGTTTGCAATTTCAACTTTTAAAACACCTCGAAAAGCTAGTGATTTAAGATTATATTTATATATATTCCTTTGGAGCGAAGAGATCAATCTTTATACTCGCCATTAGCTTTTTAGAAAAATTATTAAAGGATTCGATACTAAGAACTATGAAATTCTATAGTCTGAATATCAAATAAAGCAATTAGAATATCAATTGAAATAAATTGTTTTTAAAAAGAAGTGTAAAGTGAAAACTAATCCAAATTCAAAGTTTTCTAAGATTAAAGAGATTAGGGAAATGTAAATTGCAATGGGAGATTGTGAAATTGATATGGGAAATACTAATAATAATGATGAAAGTGTAGCCTCAAGTATTTATTATAATACTAAATAGTTGTTAAATAAATAATATTTTAAAACTATATAATATGAATTTTTAAGGTGGCCCAAAAGAGGGGTGGCCCGAAAGTGGGGTATCCGACTTAATGTGTAGGATTAGTATCCAAAGACTCTTAAACTAATATCCAATTTATTAATCATTTTTTTTGTATTAGAATTATCTTTTATATATATTACATACCTTTTTCATAAAATAAGTGATTATTTATATGGTTTTGAAGAGTAATCCTCGGAATTCTATAATCCAAAGTGGCTTATTGAATTGAATAACGTGTTTTATCAGTGAGTGGTTCATATCAGTGAATGGGTCACTTATTTTACATACAAAATTCGTCTGTGCGTAACCGTGCACTTTCTTTATTTATGGATATAATTTTCTGAAAATTTGATACAAAATACTTGAATATATAAGAATCTCAAAAATCTAATTAGTTTTAGGAAATTCGAATTTATAAAGTTGTTATTATAAAAATAGTTTTTTTGTAACGAAAATCGTGACAATTTCCTTTTTTTTTTAGAAAATGATAAAACTATTTTATAAAAATTAGATCAATAGAAAATCTAGATTTTAATTATTTTTTAAGATCTTTTATTCAAGAAAATAATGATTGGTTATTAAAATATTAATATTTTAAGAAGCTTGATTTAGGTGATTTTCGAAATGACCCATTCACTGATATGAACCACTCACTGATAAAACACGTTATTTATTTATTATTATATATAAAATCAAATTAATATTAACTTCAATATATATCTTAGGTATAATGTAAATAATAATATATCAAAATTTTAAATTAATTGATTTAAGTATTGTGAAGTTATTAAAGAATAAATAAAAGAGATCCTTTCTTGTAGTGAGCTTTTTTAAGGTGGCCCAAAAGAGGGGTGGCCCGAAAGTGGGGTACCCGACTTATAACTTAGGTGATAGATGATTACATAATTACCCCACATGAATGAGCAGGCATCATGTTCATGAATTTCGAGAATGAAAGAAAACCCTTCCCTCTTTAGATACGTTAGATAATTCAAAACGTCAACTTTAGATTCGTCTGGAATTGAGTTGAGTTTTATTATTTTCTTGTCTCCTTCGAATTGATTTTCGTCGCTGGGAGGGCCTATGCGCTGCCAAAAATTATACAACTCTCGAAAACTTGTGTCAAGTTTCTCGAAACTTAAGGAATTGATCCAACTCCTACATTGGATTCTTGGAATTACATTTCGATAAATGAAAGTAAACTTTCCCTTTGAATTTCTCATCATATTTATACAAAATCTGTGATAATCATGCCGAACTTCGAACTATCCTTCGAATGTGAAGGTTCAAGAGATTTACCACCTAAAAGGAACAGGAGGGGAAGGGATGTGTACCAATTAAGTACCATATATAATAAATGGAACCAGGATACTAAAGATGGTCCGGAGCATTTTGAGATTGAGTATTGGGAAAAAAAGAATGGTATGTATTTACGTTGCATGCACCTTGGATCAGAGGTTCGCACAAGATATTCGAATGAGGTCAAGGAATGGGAAAGGAAGTACAAGGAAGACTGGGCAGTTGCATACGGATCAAGTGGTAATGTCTTCAAGAAACCTATGAACAATGTGCAGAAGAAAGATCCACAAAATGAAGGGGTGAAAACATTTCGAAATGAAGGTAATTTTGCTGTCAACGAACAAAGTGAGGTGGCTACCAAAACTTTGCAGCCCTTGGTGGACCCATCATCCATCATTCAAGATAACTTAAAAAGAAGAGACACGTCAATTCCTAGTGGTCAATTGAATTTTGATATGGCAAAACCTCAAGATCAATCATCTCGGTCGCGTACCAAAATGCCTCTTCCAAAGGTGCCTGATTTCCAGTCAAATCATGCAAATGCCCCCAAACACAAATCATCAATGCCAGTTTCTACACCTTACACTTCCAATGTTTTGTCAAGCTTACCAAACTCTCGATCGAATTTAATGCTTCCTCCTCAAGTACCAATTTTCAAATCAAAGATTCCGCTGGTCACTTATGGACGAACAAAGGAAGGGTTTAGTAAACCCAAATCGAGAGATTCTCAAGCCCAATATGATAGAAGGGGTACTGATATCCTGCCTCCTCCCCAAGTTTCATCTGCTCGGTCGAAAGAATCCATGATTCCAAAATATAATGGTTCTATGCCTCCTCCAGAGGTACTAATTTCCAGGTCAAATAACACAAAGCTTCCCGTGTATAATCCAGCTTCTCAGTCTGTCAATTCTGTACCAAATTCAAGAGCCAAACGAGCAAGACCAAACAAATTGCTTCCTAGTCGAAGTATTTATAGGTCCGAAGTTTTGGACGATGATATTGAAGATTCAAATCAAGTAGATCGTAATTCAAATGAACAAAGATTAAATTCAAGTAGGCCATCTAAAACCCAACCAGGTCTTCTTGTACCAAATATATCAGAAGATGAGATGGATATTGATAGTGATCCAATCACCAAAGTGGATAAGATGGATATTGATATCAACCCGCCTACAGAGATCGATCAAACTCATCATGGCGGATCGGAAGATGAAATGGATATTGATCATGATCCATCATTAAAGACCTTTGAGGCCCTGGGTGACGAATTGAATGATATCATACAGGACAGAAATGTTGATGACTATCAGGATGGAATGGGTGCCCATATAGAGGCTATCTACCAAACTTCTCAAACAGACTTGATGCGTGTATTTACTAATACCACAGATGGAGAATTTGAAGATGAAGGAATACCAGCAATTGGTGAACAATTGGATTTGGAGTTACAAATATCTTCACCGGGTAAATTGTTCCATGAGTATTCTGATAAGTTGATTCATGCACATTCTGAAGGTCTAGCTAAACTAATAGAGGTGACACTAAATCTGAAAGGATTACCATGCGATAGATGGGTTTCTAAACGTACAGATACTAACGGGAGTGCTTACATTCATTTTCTTAATGCACTCATGATCATGCTTGCAGGAATCGATAAGAGAATACTAAAACATTTGGTGGAAGGAAACTTACCCAGTGTGGAACGAAACCCCGATAATTATGAATTTTCATCGAAACTTAAGAACATGAGGGCCGTTTTGACTGGAGAAACGAAATTGACACATCGTCCATATATATACATTCAATATCTAGTGGATAAAAAAGGAATATCTCCAACACCAAAGGATATTGGAGAGATTTTGGACCATGTCGAACTATATCTTGAAGGATTTAATATCAAGGAAAATCAGGCTTCGAATGATTGTGCATTGGAAATCGATACTGCTTTCCATACAACGAAGCATGGGTACAATACAGTACAAGCTGGATACCGAAGATATGCTAGTTCGGAAAGAAATCCCAGGAGTCTTACATGGAAGAAAACTATTCTTCAATGGGTAGAAACAACCAGAGATCGACTAAGATATAGCGAGAAAGACGAACCATTGAGTCGACCACTTGTGGAAGTAGGGTATGCCACTGCACTTTCGAGATTGGATGAACACAAAAATCATACAGGGTCCAATTATATCATGAATTTGATAGAAGCCATTTGCAAAGCTTATTTTCGGGAAAAGTGGAGTATCAAACAATATGTATTGTTCAAAATTGCACATCACACACACGCCATGTTTGGGGAGATTTTATGTACTCGCATGGCTCAAGCTTACACAACACATGGTGGTGGGTTCTGTCATCACGCTGCCGGCATATCACTTGGAGCCGTTCACAAAATGGATGATTTATATTGGAGAAGAGTTCAAAGAGATTTGTTGAATGAAAGGCATGGATTTTGGGACAACATGAGAGAAGCCTCATTACAATTACGGGAGACTACGCGGGCTTGTAATCAAGCCATTCAAGAGCGAGAAGATTCTGAAAAGGCGGTCAAAGAATCTCGAACTAAATTAGCTATCGATATAGCTACCAATTGGGATGAGAGATTCAATTCCATGGGCACACGTGCGAGAGACATGGGTAATCGACTGGGTGAAATTTTGCAAAGGATCGAAAGGCAACGAGAAGAGAAGCGTCGAGTAATGAATGAATTTCTTACTACTATGGGTCCTTTAAGATCCCTCATAGAACTTGCTAATATGGCAAACGAAGAAGAGGATGGATATATGATCGAATGATAAACTCTACCAAAAGCCTGACTGTTCTTGTGTGCTATGAAATGGATAAATGAATGAGCTTTAGTCGCAGACGTATCGATAAAATATGGAATAGTAGCACTATATTCAACAACCCACTGTCCTATCCCATTCCTTGTCGTGCCTATAATACTCATCAATTTGGATTGCTCTGACCGTCTTCTGTATAAGATAGATTTTCGTGAATGATGTTTTATAAAAGTATGAAATGAATTAGAAACAAAACATGTTTCCTCGAGGAGGTGATAATTACCAAAATTTGGAGGTGGCAGATACAAGAATATATAATTTTGCTAGAGTTGAGGAGTAAAGTCTAGATAGAATGAATGTGGGTCGTTGAAGCCTTCACTCAGTAACAAGCGACAAGAAAAAGGAGATGATAGTATGCAAAATGACAACAAACCAACTCTTCATCAACTCACTTTTTTTTAAAGCATAATTCACTTGTCTACCAAACATTCACCTTAACATACCTAGTAATTCAAATTAGTAGCCAATTTCTTAGCGCGAGTAAAAATAAACAAGCTGTGATGGCACGTGACGCACAATCCTCGCCTCGATTGAATATATAATTTTCCAAATTCCCGACAGAGACCTTTTCTTCTTCAACCAACACGATATTACTTGGATTGGCCACTACCATTCCAATTGAAAACTGTAAGTACCCTATCCATCTCCTTATATTCTTTTTACAATCTGCCATCATCGAATTCGAATAATTCAACATATTTGCCGATTGTCTGCACATCCAAGATCGATTTTGGCATCAGATCGACCACGAGCATACATACACGCGCCAAAAATGTCATCAAGATTCGAAGTTTTACATCGAACAACATCAAGGCGCATGTGCCATACACCTATCCACAAAAATAAGAGGGCGCGCATTTTTATATGAGCAAAATGCATTCTCACCGATCAAATTTGAGAAATGCGACATTTTTCGCCTTACCTCAATCGGTGTACTGGATGTTGCAGATACCGGAAAATTTCAACATTATGATGAATATTGGCTAATACATTCTATCAATAGCTGTTCGCCGGCTCCCACCCTTCTACACTTCTTCTACACCACTTGTGCTTCTTCGGGGGTACAAGTTGGTGCGCACACTCTCCCCCCCACCCCCCAACCCGTCGAAGAAAGAGCTCTTAATTGAGCTATTTCTTCCGAGATTCTCTTTACAGAGATTCCTCACTCCTTTCTGCTGAACAGCGGATTAGAAATTTTTACCTCCCCTCCCCCCCACCTCCTCCAAAGATGGTTCCTCCAAAGAACAATCAGGCCCCTAAGAAGGGTAATAAGGCAGGAAACTCTTGGGTTCCCAGACCCAATGGAGGCTCTGCACAATCCGGGCCCAGTGTTGGACCGAAGCATGATCCCAAGAAGAGAAAGAACGCTGGCGGCAAATGACGCTGCAAAAAGAAGCAAAAGACAAGCCTTGAGCTCTCTCTCTTCAAGAATGATGCAACCAGGCCCAAAGGATGGGAGAGACAAACTTCTGGGCCCGATGTTAGGGCAAAAAATAGGAGCAGGGGCCGTAATGGGTGGTACTAAAACCTTTCAATGCTTCCTTTGATGGCAACGATGAAATTAAGGTCTTGGGCCACCTAAACTCAACCTTCGAATTGGCATCGCAGGTTCCTGCCTTGAGATTGGAAGTTGATGGGTATGCGGTTGTACTTCATGTGCACAACTTTTTTGTAGAGAATGGTGGGTCACTTACTTTTACTAATCAAGATCGCATCTTCAATAGATGCTTAATCCCATCAGCAGGCAGCAGCGGAGGCGAAATCTTTAGTGTGAATGGAATTATATTCACATTCACCAATGAATTGGACATCCCCGGACTCACTGTGAAGCAGGCAGAAGAATTGTTCACATTTGGAGGAGGAGATCTACAAGCAAAAGGTGAAGATCCAGCCAGCCAAAAAGGATGTGTCCTCGCTCTTAAATTCACATTGAAGGGCCGCGTTTCGCCACCAAGAATGATTACAAATAGTAGAAATTCGAACAATACTCGTGCTTTAGAGCTTCAAAGAATGTTAAATAAAGGTCCATTCAATTTCACCTTGGTTCGCAGATTCGGAAACTACCACGATGAATTAGATGCATACTGGACACACAGAGTCAGAGTATGTGCACAGGAAGGAATATGGGCTATCTACAACAATATCTTGTCAACCAGATTGGGCCAAAGATTCGAGGCATGGATCAAAAATCCAGCAAAAGCACTTCCTCACGAACCTTGGATGGCAGTAGGAACCCCCGCGGAAAATGAGATTCAAAGATACGAGTCGCATGAAGCCAGAAACAATTTTGAGTCTATGGCAGAGTGGGAAATCGTACTCAGCGCGGCTGTTATTCATGACATCGCAGCCTCGGTCAAGCTGAACGAGCAATACTACAATTGGGATCGAACATATGAAGCAATTGTAAGGTATGTAAAGAATGATTATGTTCAACTTGAGTTTAATATCCCAAGTCGTGGGGAGTTGTCCTTCCCTTCAATTGGTGGAGGGACTCGATTTCTCGTTAGATATGGGAGATGCATAACAGCTGAAGACTCTAATGCTGAGTTAGAGAATGACGGAGACGAAATTGAAAATGGTGAGATCTCAGAGGAAGAAGAGATTGAAGCCTCTCCAGGTGCTGCTAACATCACTAATAGCCAAGAAGGTTTTGAAACTAATCTGATAGATAATGAAAAAGGCGAGCAAGCAATTTATAATTCCAGCGAAGATAAGGTTGCCGTCCAGGATATTGTGATTGACGGTATCAACAACGTAGAATGGACCGCTCAAGTTCTCGTGGCCAAGGAAAATAAGCAATTTGTCATTTCTTTCATCATGCCTCAAGGTAAGAAAAGAAAATTTCACGTAGGAAGCAAAGTCGATGTTCAACTGAAGGTCTTGAACAATCACCTTGCTACAACACGACAACTTAAAGCTATTGGTATGATTGCCGAAAATAAAGCTAGGGACGATACTTACAGACGAATCCTCCAGAGATTCATAATCGGTGAAGGTATGGCTGATGTTAAAGATGATATTGAGGATCACCTCCTTTCTTTAAAAGAAATCACATACAACAAACTACCACTACTCAACCAAAAAATATACGACCAGTGGCTTGAAAGTTGCAACCTTAACCGTATGCAACGAGAAGCATACGACGCGGTTATCGAGGATGTTTTACCAGCTACAATCATTCAAGGTCAATCCGGAACTGGTAAAAGCTTGACCTGCGCTGTTACATGCATTGGAATAGCACAATTGGAATAAATCCAGCGCCCAAACTCCAGGCCGAGGTCAAGGAATCAAAAGAGAACTTCGCGATTATCCACTTCCCAGCTAACGCATCCACAGAAAACGACTTTATGAAGCGAGACGACGAAAGAAAAGATGGCCAAGAAGATAATCCCCTCGACGCCTACCGAATCTCAAACCACGTCATAAAATGTTTCCACCGCAAAGCCAATAATCCGGAATTAAGCAACACCATGCGCACCAAAGCACGCAACTGGCTCGCGACGCTCCAACGAGTTCGAGAAGGAAAATCCGTCGCAGCAGAACGATTCGTCAAAGAAGGAATCGCCGAAATGGAAGAAGTTGTTCGAGACACCCATACCAAAATTATCATCTCCACTTGCAATAATTCTGCAGCGCTTCGCGATTTGGGGTTTCAACCCCAGGTGGTGGTGATGGATGATGCGTCTTTGGCGAGAGAACCGGATCGTATCATCCCGCTTACGTTTGGGCAAGCTCATGTTGTTTTGTATGGAGATGTGGAGAAGAAGGGGGTATGGCCGGGGGTTAAATGGCTGGGGAGTAATGAGTTTGGTGCGCAGTTGTCGAGGAGTCTTTTTGAGAGATTGGTTGGGCTGGGGAATATGGCCGTAGTGAGGTTGGAGTAATGTGTCGTATGTTCTTTGAGGAACTTTTTTTTTGTAGATTTTGAGGGATGGTGGTTATGGATTTTTGACGGTGGTTCTTCTGTGCACTTTCTATCTATGTACCTATGTATACAGATGGGATTATAGTATCGAATCGAATTAAATTGAACTTGAAATTAAAATGGATTATATATGAGATAGAATATTGAAACGAGGAAGTAATGTATAAAGGGAAAAGATATTATCATTCTTATTTTCAATCTTCGCATTATAGGATTATACATAGTATTAAGCGAACATTCCTCATCCTCATCTCATGCATGCTCGTCAGTAATTCCGAAAAATCTTCCAGGGAACTCAAGTGGCACTCCATCCAAACCTGTTCCCTAATACCCCTCTCTATCCACCAACTTCTCCCCCCTTAATTAACAAAAAATCCATCCTCTTTCCCCCCCTCCTTCGTCTCCCCCCCAACATCCTCCTTCCCAAACACCGTCCCCTCAAACTTCGGCACATCAAAAGTCCCCTCGGGATCCCTCCCCTCCCTCAAAATGTAGTCTCCCACTCTACTCCTACTCCCTCTAATCTCCCCCAACCACCCCGTCATCTCCAACGCCACCTTTTTATTCCCCTTCGCTCCCCCTTAATCGCCGCTTCCATAACATGATACCTACTAGCCTCATTCCTCAACATCATATCAAACGGCGTGGTCGTCGATCCCTCCTCCTTATAACACGCAATACTCAGTCTCTCCAGATTTGGTCTTCCAAAAAGCAATCCCTTAATCTCATTACTATACCCATGATAAGTGAAATGAGTGGGTTTATCCTCCGTAAACAAACTATTAAATTCCTCGCGGGTCAAACTATGCGGATGCAAAGTTTCCGCTTCCAGAATCATCAAATCCGTTACATTGACCACTCGGATTCTCAATTCCGGACACTTCTTACGGAGCAAGGCAGCGGCAACCACAACTTCAAACATGAGTTCGGAACCGATTCCTACGAGAACGACATCCGGATCAAGTCCATCGTCTGTGCTGCAGAATTTCCAAATCGAAGCACCGGCTTGACAATGTTTGTTTGCTTCTTCGGGACTGAGGAAGACGGGTTGAGGTTGTTTGGATCCAACCATTAGGTTTATGTAGTTGGTTGATTTGAGACAGTGGGCGATTGTTGAGAGGAAAGTATTTGCATCGGGTGGTAAATAAACTCTTGCAGCTGTTGGTTTGAGATTTAGGACTGCACCGATGAATGAAGGATTTTGATGCGAGAATCCATTATGTTCTTGACGGGTCCATGTACTGGTTTCGATGTAATTGAGAGATGAGAGATCAGCTCTGAAACGGGTTTCGCGAGCCATTTTTGTTGAATTGCTATATTGAACCATCATGGTATGAATTATACCAAGGAAGGATTCATAAGATGGGAAGATTCCAGTACGTCCCGTGAGAGTATATCCTAGAAATAATGAATATGATGCAAAAGAAAAGACGAGGAAAATAACGTACCTTGAAGGAAACCTTGACATGTATGTTCACTAAGAATTTCAATAACTCTTCCACCTTGAGCATGTGAAAATTCATCCCATTGAAAATCACGTCCTGTATGCTTAAAGACTGCGTCAAGTTTATTACTGACAAGTTCATCTGGAGAGAAAAGTCGAAGGGATTTTGGATTATCAACCAAAGTTTGATCAATAAGATCACCAATGGCTTCATGCAAGAAAACTTCTGTTCCTTTTTCAACACCATACTTTTTCCAATCTGGTACTTTTAATACTTCATGGTTTTTGTATGTCTCTGGTCTCTGGGCCGAGTTTTTTTATGTTCGGGTGGGATGATTGCCTTGACGGAGTCAACAACATCACCAGATTCCGTGAATAATTTGGCTGGTCCATATGATAAAAGCCATTTTTGGAGGTCAGCAAGTTGATCTTTATTCGATTTGACGGCCATGAGAGGAACTTGATGGGCATGGAATGACCCTTCAACATATTCTCCATCAACAATCTTTGGACCACTCCATCCTTTAGGTGTTCTCATGATGATTACTTGGCCACTATTGATGTTAGTATATCAATTTGATTTAGCAATGGGGGAATTACTCTTGGTTTCATAATTGGCTTTCCAGATCTGGCAGCCTTTTGAATTTAAGAATTTCATCAGAGCCATTGCATACTTGTTGCCATATCACGATCCTAATGTATAATTAGTATGATTTCTCAACAGGACTCCACAGCACAAGTCTCCCAACTTCCAAGCAATTAACTTACGATATCTTCTAAATCCTCAACAAATCGACATTGATATCCATAACCAGTAAATAAAGATGCCAATTCCTTATCATCCATACAACCATAAATAGTTCTCTCAGAAATCTTGAAACCATTCACATGAACAATTGGAATAACCGCACCAGATTCCGCTGGATCAATATATTTAGCTGCATGCCATGCAGTAGCTGTTGGGCCCGATTCAGCTTCACCATCACCGACTACACACGCAACTACCAAATCTGGATTATCCATCACCGCACCAAAAGCTACCGAAAGAGCATATCCAAGTTCTCCACCTTCATGGATAGAACCTGGAACTTCGGCACTGATGTGAGAAGGAAATCCAGAAGGGGTACTGAAACCAGTAATGAGGTTATGAAGACCTTGTTTATTGTTGGAATATTTGGGATAGAATTTTGCCAAAGTGCCTTCTAACCAAAGGGAAGAAAGAATTGCTGGAGCTCCATGACCAGGTCCAACAACATATATCATGTCAAGATCATTCTTTTTAGTGAGATAGTTGAGATGAGCATACACCAAAGTAAGACCAGGACATGTTCCCCAATGACCCAAAAGTCTTGGTTTTATATCATCAAATGTGAGATCTCTTTCCAAATAAGCATTATCAGAAAGGAAAATCATAGCTATGAAGATGTTAGCTTGGGTATAGTGATATTTCTTTTTGCATTGCTTAACCAGCAGCAATGTAATTGCTAGCTCTACGAAATTCCCTCGAGTCCTCTAAATTATCATCGGGGATTTGTAACTTTCCAATTTGACTGCTAAATCATTGACCGTTGCCGAACCGGGTATATTGGAATTCAAAGCTTGAGGATTTGGTCTATCTATGATTTCTCCAGGCATATTCGAGGTTATTGTAGATTGATTGTGAGGGGTGGTTTGAGGTTATTGTGGTTGTAAATGTAGTTGTAGTTGTGTCGTGGTCGTGGTCGTGCTCGTGATATCTTTATTTCGTTATTCCGCCCTCAATATATATCGTTTACCTTCACATCAAGCAGACAATTACCAAAGGAAATATCTTCAAAGCCAAGAGATAGAGGAAAGACGAGCAAAGTATTGAGAAGAAGAAGAGAGACAAATTGATTATTTTGAAGGTAGAATATACTTGAGAAGGGTAAAGATCAATTGAAAAGATAAACAAAATAACATTCCCCCTCCTACTATTTCTCCAAACACAAAACAAGCTCTCGAGCTCTCCACTCCTTCCGTCGCAACAAAGGAACAAGTGCGTCACATCTATCATTCATCACTCATCCATCATCATCATTATCCATCATACATACTGGGTATATACATATCAACAAACTAACGATGCCGACAAATCCGACACGATGCCAACACCTAGACTGAGATGCATCCACCATTCACCATCCACGGCCAAGGCCAAGGCCCAACTAGATGTCGATTTCCAGTATTCAAAGGTTCTAGAAGGTATGGATTTTGAGAGAAACACCGAGATTGGAATTCTCTCCATGAGTTTTGATGGCATTTGATGCTATTTGATGTAATTAGTTTGTGATAGAAGCTTGCATGAAAGTCTCGTATTACGGTATTGGGTAGGAAGAAAGCTTGACGTTTGGATTAACGTCATACCCCTCTCTAATGGGTGGAGAAGGGATACCGCTAAGTAAGTTATGGCAAATTGATACAACATTTGGGACTGGATTGATTGAGATCCGACCATCTTTGTATATGGTAGTAGTAGTAAATCAATTCCTCTCATGACAATCGCAGTCACATCACTCAATAGAAAGAAAGAATATATCTAATCAATATCCTCTTTCTAGATGAAACGAATACCCCCAACCCAACCCAACCATCACCATTTCATATCAAGGCGTGAGTGAGGCAAGTAAGAATCCAAAGAATCCACCATCCAAGATTTGCGCATCTAATAATTCTAATTCAATTCCCCTTCCCCTTCCCCTGCAATCAAATAACCAGACTCCCCCTGTACACACCCGCCCGTTCCCGATAATCCGGAAAAGCTTCTCAAGAGCTATTCTTCTTCTATCCCCTGTAGCTTTGGTGCATCAACCAAATGTAGACCAATCGATAAGTGTCAATTCTCGGCTTTCGATAAGAAATTCACGTACGACGTATGGCGGGGAATTTCTGGAACGTCATCTGTGCTGCTTTGGCATGATACGATTATGGGACGAGAGATGGAAAGGGGATTGATGATGGTGGGATGATTTTTTTGGCGGGATATGTTTGTCTACCTACTTAGAAGTATACCTAGTACTTCCAAATATTAAGCTTGGTTCTCTACTCTACTTCATATACCTATTTGTATGGTTTCTTTCTATCGGGTTCATCAAGATCGAAAATTGTGTGCCAGTGTCAGTGACAGGTTCAAAGAAAGACGACAATTGGAGATTTAATGCATACATTTCTAGGATATCTACCTACTCACATATTTACCTAGATACTCATTTACCATCTCAACCATCCATTGGGAATCTTTGAACCTTTGAATCTTCGAACCTTCACACACAACAAACTACAAACCGCAAAACACAATCCCTCCCTCCCTCCCTCCCATCCACCACCACCACCACCCCCCACCATGTCCAAAATCATCCTCTCCATAAACGCCGGATCCTCCTCCGTCAAAATCTCCATCTTCTCCGCCTCGCAAGGCGACCCCTCCCCCAAACCCCTCGCCGAAGCCCAAATCTCCAACCTCACCTCCCCACCCCCAACATTCAAATACTCCCGCGACGGGACCTCCATACTCCACAACCAAACCCTCGATTCCAACATCACCGACCAAAACTCCGCATTCCAATACATCCTCACCCAGCTAATCAACGACCCCTCCTTCCTAGCCATCACCCAACTCTCCGACATCGCCCTCGCCAGCCACCGCGTCGTCCACGGCGGCGCCTACCAAACCAGCCAACTCATCACCGGGGAAACCCTCCACCACCTCGAAACCCTGACCGATCTGGCTCCGCTGCACAACGCCTCGGCGCTCTCCATCATCCAACACTGCATCACCCACCTCCCTTGCACCCGCAACATCGCAGTCTTCGACTCGCAATTCCACGCCTCGATTCCAGATCACATCTCCACCTACCCCATTGATCAGGAAATCGCGAAGAAGAATGGTCTGAGAAAATATGGTTTCCACGGCATTTCCTATGCGTTTATCACGCGGAGTGTGGCGGAGTTTTTGGGGAAGAAGGAAGAGGAGACGAATATTATTGCGTTGCATTTGGGCAGTGGAGCCAGCGCGTGCGTGGTCAAGAATGGGAAGAGTTGGGATACGAGTATGGGGTTGACGCCGTTGGCGGGATTACCGGGGGCGACGAGGAGTGGGAGTTTGGATCCGAGGTTTGTATTTTGCTTTCTCTACTTCTATCTCTATTTATTCATCTACCCCTGCCTAAAATTCCCCTACCCATCACCCCCTAGCTAACCCCTCCCCCTCTAGTCTCGTCTTCCACTACGCCACCAACGTCGGCAAGCTCTCCCCCAACTCCACCTCCTCCCTCCACATTTCCCGCGCCGAAGAAATCCTCAACAAAGAATCCGGTTGGAAATCCCTCACCGGCACCACCGATTTCGGCACTATTACATCCTCCTCCTTCTCAGATCCCACCATGAAACTCGCATTCGACATATTTGTCGATCGGATCCTCTCCTACATCGGACACTATTACATATCTCTGCATGGAAATATCGACGCGTTAGTTTTTGCAGGGGGGATTGGAGAGAAGAGTGAGGTTTTGAGAGAGAGGGTGGGAGAGGAAATTAGGTGTTTGGGATTTGAGATTGATGGAGAGAGGAATGCAAAGGAGATGGAGGGAACGGTGCAGGAGATTGGGAAGGAGGGGGCCAAGCATCGTATGTTGGTTTGTAAGACGGATGAACAGTTTGAGATGGCGAGACATTGTGTGGTTGATGAGGGACTTTTTGGGGAATGAGAGGAGTGGAGATGAAGGGAGTGGAATGATTGCGCGCTGTGAACATTGGGAAGTGGGTCGCGAAGTAAAGAAGTCAAAGAATATCCAACAGAGTGAAATGAATGAAGGTATCAGCGAAGGAATGAAAAGCAAGAAAGGTAGAAAGCAGATTAACTCCAATTTTTTCAGAAAAAAAATAAAAACCCAAAATACCATGCTTTCTACGCTACACTACGCTCCATGGGTATATCTACAAAAATATGAGAAGAGTACTATGATCCTCTATTTTGCATCGCGCCATAAACATCCAAGCCCCATAATAATGATATGTTTCCAGCGCCACTAAGCAAGCCGTACGCTCGCAAGAATATCAAGCAATCTTTCAATGTCATCATTGCAGTCCTCCTGTCTTCAAATTATCCATCTCTTCATATAGTTCGATCCGACCTTGGATCTCCACTCATCAGTATTCCGAAGACAACCAATCTTCACCTCACACATGTGAATTTCCACCATCATCCAATAAAAACCGGCATTCTGCTCCCCTTCAAATCAGGCGGAACACCACATTTATCATCTTTATTCCAATCATGCAACAAAAGCCAACACAACATTCTGAACATTAGCGAAACCCAGATAATATTCCTCTGTTCCATTTCCGAGGAACTCGGTTTCTTCCCATCGATCTCATGTTTCGCGACCGCGGGCCGAATATCATCAAAATATATTTTCAACAAAGGTTCTTCCTTTTGGACAGAAACGATGGAATTTAAAGAGGAACTACGCCCATCGAGGATTTTCGTTACTTCATTCAAATGAGCAACGACAACTTGAAGTACATCTTTCTGTCTGAGTTTGTGGAGGAGGTAATCTGTTTGGTCGTCTATAGCATCGTGGATCATTTCGCGCATTTCAATACTAAGATTATATTCATCGATTTCTTGTCCGGGATGAAGAGATTGGATATCTTTCCATTGTTGAATGATTTTGGCGAAGGGATGAAGGTTGGAAGTTTCATCGTCATCACTTTCTTTTGCGTAAATGTCCCTAAGCTTTTCCTGAAAGATGGCCATGAGTTTGGAAACTTTCCAAGCGGGTTTTGAACCGGCTTTTTTCAACCAAGGATCTTGAGTTGGGTTGGGAATCATTCTGAAATTGCTTCCACGAATTCGAGTAACCTTCCCAAGCATGCCGATGATTTCAAAAGATACTATGCAAACAATTAGATATAAATCTGCAAGAAGAGTAGAAGTGGACCTACCAGAGAAGATATGCCTGTGATCTTTTCTGTAGCGCTCTAGTATTTCAGGTGTACAGCCAAGTGACTCTAATGTCAAGTCCACATCATCTTGACTTCCAAACTTCAATTCTAAACTCTGAGATTCCGTATCATCCTCTTTTAAGTATCCCTTTTCTTCGAATATATTAGGTACCGTCCCAAAGCATAATGCCTTGATATCATTTGATGGAATGACACGATCTTGCTCAAATTTGGATTGTCCCGTAACAGTAAACACAACCATAACACCTAAACCATGAACCGTCGTCGAGGTAAGAATGAAACCATTGCCTTCAGCTCTAAGGTTCCATTGTATTTGATCAAAGACCTTCCAATACATTCCCAATAATGCCATCATTTCCACCAGGTGACATATAGCAGATGTAGCATATGGTTTAGTCATGCTAGCTGGAACGAAATCCCAAGACCGAGTTTTGACCTGTAAACCCACAGCTAATTCGTACTTTGGAGGTTTTATCGGTTGATGTCCAACAGATGGTGGTCTACTCGGTCGAGGTTTCTTGTCCCATTCTCGCGATATTAATTCCTCAGTTTGTAGACTCGATAACAACGTAACCCAAGATGCCCGTTCATCATCTGCCGTATGAATCCGTTGAGTAGTTTCCTTATCTTTCTTTAGTTGGTCAATCGGTTGGCGAACTTTGGTATTCTTGTATGATTCTGGAGTGCCATCGATATAATGAATTGGTTTATTCAAAATTGGACCCCTTGTATTGCTGGGCGATGCAACGAATATAACTGGAACTTCAAAAACAACCTCGACTCGAAACTCCCGTATCCTTAACTGTCGATGAGTTCCCCCGGACCAGAGCCCCATCACTGACTCGGCACATCGTCTATACCCCTCGGCACTCGAGAAATATTGCTGTGCCACCTGCAAACAAGTTGTCAAGAGTGCTATTACCGAAACAATCAATGCCACGAGCCCAAAAACATTTTGGTTGAGGTTATCCAAAGCCGACATATTTCTTAGCTCTCAGCCTCGTCTTCTCTGTCTCTCAAATTTCCTTTCGATTTGCAGGCAGGATCGTGAGTATATAAAACAAAACAAAATTCCTATGCAATTAAAACATCGCTCAAAATCGCTCAAAATCAAAATCAAATCGAAAAGACATGCAGAAAAGAATAAAAACAAAACAGCACGATCTCGAGATATATACAATGTCTATTAATATTGTACAACATGAACATCATCAACAGCCCCCAACCTTGTGTATCTATCACGCATGGAAATGGGTGAGGCTGAAGAATTCATGGGTTCTTAATGGTTTTGCTGCTTGCCAAGCCACTGAGCCACGAATAAACCCTGTGCTGCATGTCAGCTTGAAGGAAGAGATGCAAATCAAATCATTTTTGGAAATGTGTAAGTTTTGATACCCAATTCAGTATCATATCATCTGATGTTGATAAAACTATGAGTATGTGGTGGATTTGAGAGATGAGATGAACTCATTGAGTGTGGAGTGCAAGCACGGATGTGGACTAATGTTTGAATATTTGACAAGAATTCATTAGAACCGATTTGAGAATCAGAGAGACAGACCTCCTTCCTGAACAATCTTGTAAATGCGAGGGTGGTCTAGAGTGTGTGTCCATTTCTTATCCTTCCCATTGTCTACAATGAACATGCAGAAGATGTAGAAGATGCACAATAATTAGATAAAAATGCACACATACATCTAGCTTCATACACATCATGAGTTCATATCATTTGCACGTACATCACGATCACCATCACTTAGAGACTAGAATGATATTTGAGATCATGATCAATTTTTTTTTGCCTATGAAATTCTGAATCTATAAAACCATCCTGTCAAATACATGAATATCCTCTGGTAGTACATTGTTTATAATCATGATCATGATCTTGAAAATAAATTAAAGGTAAAAGACCGCAAACGTAAACAAATTGAAATTTTGTTTTGACACCCAGTCGTCATACGAATCAGATAGAGTTTGACCATAGACGCCAATCAAATTAAGATAATTTGAAAACGTCAATCAAAGCGTGTGCATCATCCTATGCAATATGCCCACCATCCATGATACCAACACAAAGACTCTTAGAAAAGTCATTTGAGATCCTATGCAGTCAAAAGTAACCTTTCCTCCCCGAATATCACAATGTACATGTGAAGGAAGGCTCAAACGCCATGAGAATACAAGAATGGGAAATTCGAATTTGGTGATGACAGATAAAAATCAAGAATAAAAGTTTAATCTTGAGATAAAAACTTGACGTCGAGAAGTCATGATGATTATGAAACAACCCATTCAGAGTCCTGAAGGTCTTTTTGAACGTCATGAACATTATAATCACTGTCGACATAAGTGAGGTCTGATGTCCACTTTTGTCCTGGAGCACTTCTTTCAGTCTTTGGTGGAATGGTGTACTCTTTTTCATCAGTCGAACTAGTGGTTCCAGCTCCCTCTGCACCAACAACCTCCTTCTTATCCTTCTTCGCCTTCTTCTTCTTACTTGAAACTTGCTCCCATTCGCGAGAATCTTCAATGATGGTCTTGACACGCTCATCGTCGTCACCATATCCTTGCCATTGAGTACCAGTAATCTCGCTCTCAGAGAAGTTTTCAGCTGGAAACAACACCTTGACCTTCTCATCTGTCTTGTTTTCGGCGGTGTCGAGTAAATCGAATTTGTTGACGGGAGCGTTGGATGTGTTGGAAGAGGAGGCAGTCCAAGCAGAGTTAGCAGCTTGGGAGGCCATGAATTGACTACCATCCTTAGCAGCTCTACCTTCAGCTTCTCTGGCGGTACGACGTTGCTTCTCTTCCTTGACCTTGCGTTCCTTTTCCTCTTGCTCTCTCGCAACCTTGGCAGCTTCAATCTTGGCGCGGTTTTGTCTTTGCTTCTTGGTTTCGGCAGGTTGAGGAGCGGCCTTGGCCTTCTCTTTCTTGGCTGGCTTAGGGTTGGTAGGTTCAGTAACTTTCAAGACGGATGGACCAGGAGCGGCAGGTTCAAGCATATCGGCGATACCACTTGCGACAGTAGAAGTACCCTTGGTTGGGCCAACTTCAGGAGAATCAGTCAAGGATTGATCATCATCAGCATCGCCAGCGGTCATGTTTCCAGAGTCCTTAATCTCCTTTTCTTGTGCACGAGATTGTTTGACAGACTTTTGACGATTTGTAGATGTAGAGGAGTTACCAGAGAATTGAGTACCAGCTTGAGTTTTGGCGAATTGAAGAGCGAATTTACGGTTGTTCTCCGCATCGTTATTATCATCATCGGAATCATTGGCGACCGGCTTAACAGTTTCTTGTTTGGGTTCGGGTTTTTGAGGAGCGGGAGTTTTCTTCTTCTCAGCTTTGGCAGAAGACTTTTTATCTTGTTCACCACTGCTCAAGCCATCCTTCTTGGATTTCTTGGACTTTGGTTCCTTGCGCTCTTCAACAACCTTGCTGGCTTGCTTGACGGCAGTTTGAGCTTTAGCCTTGACCTTAGATTTGTTGTTAACGTAGTAGTATCCTGCTGCCCCGAGGACAACAGTCCAGCCGATAACGGTGGTGAGTAAACTTGTGCTACTCATGATGAATAAACCGCAGATAGTTAAATGTCGAAGTGATGTCGTAATCAAGCTCTAGAGCTCTCTCGAATTGGGGATCGATCGATCGACTTATTGGGACATCAGGAGATGTTCTGACGGAGAAGATTTCTGTTTTGTGTGGAATTGAATCAAAGTGATATTCAATTAATCGTCGAGATGACAATTCTTTGAAGAAGGATTCGAATATTTATGACTATTCGAAATAGAAAAAGAATGTCCTCGTAAGTAGGAGAGCAAAAGAAGATGGGGGTTATAAACCCTATTTCGCCGTGTAAGTTTTGAGGAGAAACAGTATCGAGATGTGGCCTTTAAGATTAAGTACAGACCAAGTCGGACCCTAAAAAAGTATTCGGATCAAATCCTAATCATTATTGGAGCTCCCCATGTTTTCTAGCGTTGCTTTTCAAGTGTATGCAGGGGAACCTAATTGGGTAAGAGCTGTATCGGATCAATTAGTTCCGAATCACCGATATGACTAGATGATTTCTTTTGGTGCACCAGTGCTCGAGGTGGTGAATTTGAATGGGTGAACCACCAGTGAACTGTCTGAGTGGATTACATAATGACAAAAGGTGGGGTGTTTGAATCACAAAACATACTTTCGTAGGTGATTGCTTGATTGCTGTGCTAGACTGTTAGAGTAGACGAGGTAGACTACAGTACCTACTAGAGTAAACCGAGGGGATAAGAGATACATATACATTTTTGGACATCACATACGAGTATACTCGTACACACATCTTTGAACTTGTAGTAACTACCTACCTGTCTACAACACTTCTAGTTAACAATCAATCCAGCTAATCATTACTCAGCGAGACTGTTTAGATTATTAGTTCACTCCCTTATCATTCGTTATCTTTATCATTCTTTTCTTTCCTCTACTTCCATTCTAACATCTCCTTTCTACTTCTACAATCAATCGTCCAAGTTCCTTAGGAGGGGAAATATCAGAGAGAGATCAGGAAAAACAAGAAGAAACTACAACCTCAATCAAGATGTCTCTTAATCGTATCATTATTGATACTGATCCTGGTGAGTTCTTTCATTCATTGTTATTTGGAAGATCATAAACTAATTAGGAATTTCCCCAAAGGTATCGATGATGTTCTCGCCATTCTCTTAGCCTTGGCTGCAAAGCCAGAAGAGTTAGATGTTATGATGATTTCTATAACTTATGGAAATGTTGAAGTTGATAGGTATATTCAGAAAATCACATCAATGTTGTTAGCATTAACTTTGCTAATCAGATAAAAAGTTGTTTGAAGAATTGTGTAGCTTTGTTTCATGTCCTTGAACAGGAATTGAAATGGAGACAGGAGCGTGGTCAACTTGAGGGCTTTGATGCAATGAAGAAGTCAAAGCCTATCGTGGCTGTTGGAGCAGATCATCCACTTGAGGATGAGATGCTTATGGCAGATTACTTCCGTAAGAGCTTTATCAATAACTCCATATGAAGTATCAACTAATCCTAGCAATAGATGGTGTTGATGGTCTTGGTGGTGTTCATACTAGTGTAAGATAAATATGCCCCTTCATTTTTCGCTCTTCTTGGGACTGCTCCCTGACAGATTTCTTTTTAGCATCCACATCTATCTCCCGCCGATACTTGGAAGACTCTTTTCCAACCTCCTCCCGAAAATGCTACCGCCGAAGAAATCGCTGAGGCTCGCCTACTTGCTTCTCCATCTCCATCATTCACAGCGTCTCATGTTCCTGCTCATAAGGAAATGCTTCGCTTACTTCGAGAAAACCCTAAAGATACAATTACAATTGTTTGTGTTGGACCTTTGACCAATATTGCTTTGGCTGCTGCGGAAGATACTGAAACATTTTTAAGAGTCAAGGAGGTTGTAGTAATGGGTGGTGCGATCGACGTAGAGGGTAACATTACCCCTGTCGCTGAATTCAATACTTATGCAGATGCGGTCGCAACTGCCAGAGTATTTGCCCTTACAGGTCCAAACCCAATTACCACCATGCCACCGGTACCTTTGAATAAGTCAACCCTTCCACCATATCCTACGAACCTTTCCAGGAAACTTAACTTAACATTATTCCCCCTGGATATTACAACTCCACATCAGTTAATGAAGTCAGACTTCCAAGCGAAGTTGAAACCCCTCATCAAAGCTGGAAGTCCTCTCGCAGAATGGGTATCTGTATTTGTACACAAGACTTATGAGAAAATGAACTCTCTTGGTAGAAATTCAACATCAAACCCAGGTCTCGAGTTACATGATCCACTTTGTATCTGGTATATGTTGACTCGTTCATCTCCGACTTGGATGACTTTCCCAAGAGGGCCAGAAGATATTCGAGTTGAAACATCTGGTCAATGGACTAGAGGTATGCATATCGTTGATAGACGCATGAGAAAGAAGGCAGGAGTTGAACAAGTCAAGAGCCCTGGAGCTATTGATATTAGAGATCCAATGGAAAGCATTGCTTCCGTCGTCCATATTAATAACGATATTGGTGATGTCACAGCCGAGGAGCCTGGAGACAATGGTGGCTGGCTTAGCGTTCATAAGGGTAACAGAGTCAACAGAATTGTTGGTACTCCTGGAGAGGAAGCTTTTGGACCTTACCTTTTGGAAAGAGTTTTTGGATAAACTTTATGGTTTGAATACCTAGTACTTTTGGATTACAGTACATACCATCACGTTGGATAAAGATGTGTTCTACTTAGAAGAAGCCTAATTTGGTAAATGGAAATTTGAGCTATCTGAAAACTGCCTTGACATGCTTTTTAGTTACATGTCACTGATCCCATGATATAATCTCGAATTTTGGTAGATTTCCCTTGATATCTGAATTCGCTTGAGCCACCTTCATAGCCAATACAAAATCAAAAGGTTGGATATAAAAAGGACCCTTCTCATGGCACTCCATTCAACGCCAAATAATGCAGCATTAATAACATTCCACCCATCTTGTACGCACCCACGCTCGTCTGTACTTTTGTAAATGCCAAATTCTGGTATCTCTCCCCGCGCATTCTCCTTCTTTCCTCGACCCCTTGATTTCCTTCATTTCCAGACGTCTATTCCATCCAAGCAATGCCATGCCCTTAAACACTGATCCATAATCACCAGTGTCGATTAAGAACATTCAGTTATGAATGTTTTGTCCCTCCAATGACAGCTCCCCTAACCTCCACCCAATTAATGCTATCATCCAACTCCTCATCCACCAATCCAACTACAACCACATTGTCACCACGGATTAGATAGAGACCGTGTGGCACTTCACTGGAAGCTTCGATATCTTCTGGAGGTCGGATTATGCGCTCGATAGTTTGGGATAGGACCTGTGGTTTGTGTAAGTGATTGGAGGGGTAGAGAGAAATGGTAAGTTAGGGGAGAACAGAGAAGAGGAATAGGGAGACGGAGAGAGAACTGTATTTGGGGAAATAATAGAGGAAGAAATACCAGATTAGTCTGTTGATCACAACTCAAAAGTGTACCGACCAATGTTCTTGAATCCGCAGTTAAGATTAGAACTTTCTCTAAGGAGCTGTTAGGATACGGTTGTAAGTCTTGCTTGTTTTTATAGTTTGCGCGTATAATAGGAGTAATTAAATGAACAATTCGAAGAGGAAGGGGCAGAAAGAAGGTCAAAAAAGGGTAAACTTACTGTTTACATAGCTAGAGAGTGACATTTTGAGCTGGAGCTGCAGGAGCAACTCTGCTGTGAGAAATGATATCACGAGATGTGACGGTGCGGTTGATTACGGCTTATGTAATCAGCTCACTTTTGATAAGGTGAATTTGAGGTTTGCTGCGTCTGCAATTTGGACTGGTAAAGGTTGTTATTGTTTTGGAAACTTCCACAATTCCACACTTACAACTCAATAACCAAAAAGTGATGGCATACATAAATCCGCTTGACGGAGTTCGGGAGAACAAAGATCCGAAGCACGGTCCTCAATCAACTGTCAGGAACCCCCCAGAGTTGCTCCATAAGAGCTATTCTAGCAAATCAACCAGAACTCCTCGCACAAGAGATATTCCAACTTACGGCACCGAGTATTACTTGTCAGAGCAAACAGATACTTCTGGACGATCTGTCTCTGGTAATTTCCGATTTAAAAAAGATCGCATCGCACCGTTCACACCCATCCATCCCGAATCCGCATCTGGCAATTCGGTCGCAACAGCCACATCCAATTTCCACGGAGTGATTGTTGATGAGCTTGATCGAAAATTGAAGAGAGATCAATTGGCAGGAAGCAGAACAAGCTCTGAGGACGAGCAGGTAGAACACGAGAACCTCACCTATATCGATTCCTTACAAGCTGCTCATATTTACGAAGCTTCTGACAAGCAAGTTGTAATTGGACAATTCCAACCTAGTCTTGCAGAGACAAACAGTTCCCTAGGTATTAAGGTCTGCCGTGGCTTTGATAGTGACTTTCAAGAAAGCGGTCGTCTCCATCGAAAAGCCAATATTGACAAACTTACCGACCAGTTCGTTTTAGACTTGTCAGAAGAAGGCAGAAATCGTTGGGAGCTCGAGGAAAATTGGCTCAAACAGGTGTGCGATATTCATCAGTCCCAGGTCGACGAAGATCAATACAACGAGCTTCTTTCCAACTATTAATATGTCGTTCCTATTTTCAGCCCCAGTCGATATTGATATCGTTCTGGAAGATGGAGATAGTCGGGAGACAGTAGAGGTTAAGAATAAGAGTAGTAAGGAAAGGGTACCGCTTTACAAAGATGGCGAATCAGTTAGAGGAGCTGTCACCATTAGACCTAAGGATGGGAAAAGGTTAGAGCACACGGGTATTAAAGTGCAATTTATTGGAATGATTGGTAAGTCCCATCTTTCAGGACAGATCTAGTCCACATGTCCTCTTCAACTTGCTAACACGAAACCTTACAGAGATGTTTTACGATCGAGGCAACCACTACGAATTTCTGTCATTAGGACAAGAGCTTGCTGCTCCTGGTGATTTACAACACCCGCAAGCTTACGACTTCAACTTTAAAAATGTCGAAAAACAATACGAATCTTACAATGGCATCAATGTCAAGTTACGTTATTTTATCAAGGTCACCGTTTCCAGACGAATGGCAGATGTGATCCGCGAAAAAGACCTTTGGGTATTTTCTTACAGAATTCCTCCGGAGATGAACAGTTCTATCAAAATGGATGTTGGTATTGAGGATTGCTTGCATATCGAATTTGAATACTCGAAATCGAAATACCACCTCAAAGATGTTATCGTTGGCCGCATTTACTTTTTACTCGTTCGTCTCAAGATCAAGCATATGGAATTGTCTATCATTCGACGCGAAACTACTGGAACGCCTCCAAACCAATACAATGAGAGTGAAACTTTGGTACGATTTGAGATTATGGACGGTTCACCATCCAGAGGAGAAACTATTCCCATTAGACTTTTCTTAGGCGGCTTTGATTTAACTCCTACTTTCCGCGAGGTCAACAAGAAATACTCCACCCGCTACTATTTGAGTTTGGTTCTCATCGATGAGGGCAAGTTTCCTCTCCCTTTTAACTCTTTCTTACAATTAAGCTAATAATTAAACAGATGCCCGACGTTATTTCAAGCAATCCGAAATTGTTCTTTACCGTCAACAACCAGAAGATGCTTTAGCACTTGGTCAACAGACTAAGATTGCTGGTGCACATTCTGCTCCCAGTCCAGCGGCACAGAAACGACTTTCTGCTCAATAAATATCCCTCGTCGATTCTCAACTAATTTCTTTTCTTATTCCGTTGATACCAACAGCCCGTTTTCCTTTCCTCTTCCATTTCCTTTTTTTCCTTTTTGCGTGCGCGTTTTATGAGTTTTACATAATGGGCAAAGACAGATAGATCAATCGATCTGATCATTTGAGGGGAAAAGCCAGTCCAGTAAAGATATTAAAACATGAAAAGATACCTATCTGATGACAAGAAAATTTTCATATGGGAGGGGCATTTTCGTGGATGTACAATACGAGTCTCAAGGTGATAGGCTTTGATAGATAGATAGATATGGCGGGGTTCTTCTTTACTCACATGCATACAGTTACTTTTCCTTTTAGGAGTAAGGACGAAAACTGCTCGGAGATTGGGAATTGCGTCTGCGTATTATGAATAAAGACATTTAAGATCAAGGCTCTCTTACTTTGGAATTATGTGTCCATTAATATGACTCCTCGCCTTCAGGTTCTGGGATGAATAGGTTGAACGAAAGATAAATGCACCTGCGCCAGCACCATCATCAAACTTCAGAGCCGGAGCTAAGAAAATCTTCACGTCTTCTTGGTAAATTTCTATCATTTCATGTAAATTTTCTATCCTTACAACATTTGCCTAAAAGATACCAAGAAAAAATAACCATACTTTGAAAGCGATCAATCTCATTCATGATCCATCAAAGAAATGCCTACCAAAATCAAAACCAATCCGATAATTTACGCCTCCCCCAATTGCTTTGCTCTGCTTATCTCGTTTGTCACCAGGCTTACATTACTCCTTATTTATTTTATCCACGCGATTCCGGCTTTCCTTTCTCATCTCCCCGCTCGCATTCCTCATCGCTCATTTTCGTACTCCATCTCACATCTCCATCATATCTCCATCACCTCCACCACCACCTAGACTAAACCGCCCGTTTTCAATCGCAGCCACACGATCCAACTCCTCCTGATACCCTCTCCTAACATCGGCTAATGTAACCACTCTTCTCTTAACACCCCCATTCGCATCCTCTTTGCCCCCCTTCAAAAGACCTCTACCAGTACCTCTTCCCCCATTCCCCCCTTCTTTTCCTTTCCCGCCTTCACACAAAATCCACGCATGTTTTGGATCCACACAACTCAACGCATTAATAACCGCGACATATTGTTTCGTAACCAATGTCTCTCCTTCCTCTCCTGTCTCTCCACTTCCTATTTTACTATCACTTTCTGACGAAGCTTGAAGACGATATAGTCTCTCCAACGAGATAGCTGCCGCACCACGGAAATCGGATCTTTGAATTCGCCACGCGTAAAGTATTTTATGGTATGGAACACCATTTGTAACTTCGACGATGTTTGCGCATTTTTGGGAAAGGATTTCATCGACAAGATCTTGAAGACCAAGGAAAGGGAAGGAAATGAGTTGAGTAGCGTGGGAAGATTCACACATTTTGGTAATGAGTAATCTGAGAGAGGATGTTTGTAGAGCAGTATTGGTGAAGAGGGAGAGGGCTGAGTAAGCGAGTTCGTAGCGAGAGGTTTGGAGAGCAGCGTGGAAGAGACGACTGTGCATTTCGGTACTGAGTTGGGGATCATGTTGGTTGGGTTTGATAAATTGGAGGGCTAGGCGGGAGAAATCGATAACGAAGGAGTACATTTTTTTGTTGTCGTATAGAGAAACAATGTGGGAATAATATTCTGGAAGACCTGCATTCAGAAGATTCTTTTCTGTTTCGTCTAGGAGGCCTGCACTGTGTGTTGCGTGCCTACCGTACAATGGAAATGCTAGAAATCATCATTAGTTATGACAGGTCTAAAAATGATTAAGTAGAGTTGTAGCTTACCCATCCCAAATGCAGCCTTCTTAAAGTGCAATGCTGCTGTGCGTGGGTCATTGGCAGCCAGGTATGCTCTTCCTTGAATATATGTAGAGAACGAATCATGCTCAGTGAAGCGTGAAAACTCCATTGCTAAATCAGACTGGTTATGCTTCAATAAGAAACATTGAATGATAGCAGGTGAGGATTCGTATTTGCTATCAGGTTTGCATAGTTCAGTGATAAAGTCTGTCAAGGCTGTAGGCATCGATACTGCTTTATCTAATCCGAATAGATGTCTATGAACACCTTCCAGAACAGTGACAGTCTCATAAGATATTGGATTCCTAGACAAACTGGATGTCGAATCATCCAATGATTTTGAGCTTTCGCGAGTCGGGAGAGGTATATCGATCTGGGTCTTAGCCAACCATGAAACCAGTTCGAGCCTTTTGAGCAGAATTAAAAGTTGATTGAAGACCGCACCGGTCTCAAATTGGATACCTTCTTCTCCATGGTTAATTTCAACCTCAATAAGTACTAACAAGAGAAGTTGATCAAGACAGATGCTCTTGTGTAACTCGATAGTCTCTTGAACTCCTCTAACAATCAATCGATTACCGGCGTTGGCTAAAGGTAAAGGATGCTTCGAGTCCTTTCCAATAGAAGTGATCATGGATTCGAGAAGAGCTTCGTACACGTGCGAATTGACATCCCTGAATGTACCTCCCAAATTTGTCACTAGTTGATGATACTCCTCATCACCAATTTGATTCGAGTAATCACATTTATCATATAAAGTCTTCATCCTCGCTGATGGTAGAAGCGTTGGCTCCTCGTAAAGTTGACCCAACAAGGCGGAGCGGAAGCCATGATAAAGAACGTCTGGAACTGCTTCGCCGAATAAAGAACCAGCTGTGAGAAGAGTGGATACATACTCCATCCCAGCAATAGTTTGTTCAGGGTTATGCCATACCCGTTCTAACTCGCTACAGCCTCGAACTGCTGATATTCCATCTGCTGATACAACCCAAGGCATCTCTCCCATAGGGTCAATAGTTAAAGATAAGGCTTCACCTCTTTGTTTGTCTAGCTCAACAAGCAGTCGATAGAATCGCCTCCATTGTGCATCAGTGGCAAGGCGAAATTGTTCAAAATCAATACCTCCGTCTGATGCTTTACCTAACGTAGCAGTAGTTGCAATGCTTGAACATAAACGTTCAGGTAAAGGTGCGGATCTCCGCGATGTATCTCTCGATGCTCCTAGACCTCTTTCGTAGATGGCCAATCCAGTCTCGATGGTTGCATGGGTGAATTTCCCAGGATATAGTATGTACGCTAACCATTTGTCGGTTGAATCTAAAGCATCGCCAGGGTAGACGGTAGGTATGGGCGTTTGAGTCAAACTTTCGCTCACCATAGCTTCCCAGCCCTCATCCCACGATTGCGCAACGTCCTCTTCACCACCACTTCCAAAGTAAAGCTTTTGAACTCGATAGGTTGTATTATTTTTCCACAAAGTCCACAAACTCAACGAGTTTCTTGGTCTATCCAGAATGACTAAAAAATCTGCCATAGTCCAAAGGTCTAAAGTAGGCGCTTGAGGGACCAAGATATTATCAGGGAAAGAATCTGATACGACGAGATCTCCACTTTGAGCGGCGGGAGCAACATGCCAAAATTTGAATTGTCCTTCACCAATTGGGGAGTATGTAACACATAGAGCGCTTTCGTTATTGTGGCCATAGACTTTGACCAATTGTGAATATGAAGGATCGATCACGGATTTTCTAGGGTTCTTGGGATCTATTTCCTGGCCGAGAATATCACCAACATATGCGATTCGTCCGGTAGTCAAGTTCCAAATTCGGAGATTGTGATCCAGAGATACAGTGAAAGCATATGATTGCCCATCGATGCTAGCTGATGGTGAAGATATAGAAGTAACTGCGGATAATTCAATGTTGCTGTTTGCGTATCGAATAGTGTTGCTTCCTTGGAAAGGCATCAAGGCCTTCAACCCATCTCTCCACCCACCTGGATTATAGTGTAGTTCTTTCCACTCGGAACCTATTTTACCTGTCAGTTAGCCACATCATTTCCGGAAAGCAGCTCTGACATACCATCTCCGCCAGATTTTCTGTCTAACTTTAGAAGCCCCCCATCGAAATTAGAGATTAATAACTCATTCGCACTAAGCGCAACCATCCTATGAGGTTTCTTAAAGCTGAATACCGATGATATATACGATTTGCACCAATTTCCAACATTGTTTTCAGTGCTCGAAGGATTGCGAAAGAAATCTGGCCAAAGTCTCAGAGTATAAAGGTGGTGTGTTTCCGTCAAAACAAATGCGCTGACATAGTCGTGTTCCTTGCAATCCGCGAAAGCAATGCACCCGGGTTTAATAGCACTTGGAAATTGTAATCTCAAAGTAAGGTGTGCATCCGTCGTATTTTGCTGTTTCGATACATCGACCGCTTGAACCGACAGCACCTTTCCATCCTCCAACACTCTCCATAAATAGCTTCGGGGAAAGACATCTTGTGTGCGATGGTAAATGGATCCAGCAGCAGCTAAGTATTTTTGTTTGAAAGTTTTTTCATCCTCTGCAATAGGTGATTCTGTAATATGAGGTCGCTTTTGTACTATTCTTGAGGCTGGAGTGCCATGTGCAGGTAAACGAATCCCAATTGTAGAATTTTGAATGGATGAATCGAGGTTTAGTCGTATCTCCTTATAGGAATAGAAATGTCCCTTATCAGCCATCTTATCCCCATCAATCGCTGGTCTCATGAAGAGTTTTGGTGAGTGTCAAGAGGTTGGCGCATGCTTTGTTTTGACGCGGTTCTTTCTAAAGATCGCGGCGAGCTTCACTTTTTAGGTAGGCGGCCGCTAGCGCGCTTTTCCAGCTACCATATATTTCATTGTGAGCTCTCGCTCAAGGCAAACTTCGTATCAAAGTAGGTGTTACCCATGGTATAGAAATTGATATGTGCTACTAAATTACTAAATACAAACATTTCTATTCATAAAGGCTTCGCATTGATGAAAATAATAGAACCGTTTCCTCCCAAAGTTCACCATAAAGCTTCATTTGTCACCCATGACCGCTACCATGCCTCCATGCCAGCTAAAGAGCAAAGAAAAACAAATAACCATTAGAACCCCATAAAATCATGATGCATTTACCCCAATCAACACTCTCTAATCCTTCTCTAGATCTTTTGGACTTGGATCTCCAATACCGTCTTCATTGATAGCGAAAAGACAATCACTCTCTGGTAAACAAGGACTATCGTAGATCTTGCAAATTCTAGTCTCTCCACGACCCTTCTTGAGACTTAATCTAGTGGTACTTGCATGTGCAATAATATTACCTCCGATAGGTTTCTTGGGGTCTGGATTGAACATAGCACTTGGTCCTCCATCAACTTGTGCAACAACCTGATTTGTGATTACCACAGCAATACCAAATTCATCGGCTAGCCGTTGAAGCATGCGCATAAATTTTGCTAGATGCATTTGTCGAGAAGACAATTCACCTCTTCCTGTGAAATCTGTGCGGTAAAGTGCGGTGGCACTGTCAACGATAAGTAGAGAGAATCTAGTTTCGCACATCATTTGTGCTGCTTGATTAAGAAGTTGCAATTGATGATCGGAGTTGTAGGCTCTTGCATATGCAACATTGTCCAAAACTTCTTCTCCAGATAGGCCGTATCGATTGGCTACCGCAAGTAAACGTACAGGACGAAATGTGCCTTCCGTGTCGATATACAAACATTTGCCTTCTCCGCCACCCATATCAAATGGCAATTGACAGGTAACTGCTAGAGTGTGGCAAATTTGACTCTTTCCAGTACGGAACTCTCCAAATATTTCGGTCACAGATCCTGTTTCTACTCCACCTGCCAGAAGTGTATCTAATTGCTTAGAACCGGTCGTAATAGATATCAATTCGCTTCTTCGTTGATGCATTTCGGTGGCGGTTGTGAAACCCATAGGGACCAATTTCGATGCTATTGAGATGTCAGCAAGTCCGCAGGAGACTTCATGGCATTATATATAACTGACCTTCCGTAAGGATCTTTGTGGCTTTCTGTTCAGAGATACCCTTAATTTGTTCTAGAATTCGCCGCGGGGTGTATGCGACAGACTCTACAGTATTGTAACCACCATCCACGATCATTTGAATGTCTCTCTTAGTTAGACCTGCGACTCCCTGTCATGGCTGTTAGAAATTTGCGATGTGAAGGAAAAGAAATGGCTTACCTCTAAGGCAGAGAGTGGCGTTGGTGCACCAGGACCTCCCATTCCTCCATCGTCCCCAGATTGAGAGGCTTCGATTTCTTCTGAAGTCATTTTATGGACGAGATGTTTGAATTGTAATGAAAGTAGTTTGGTGAATTCCCAGAATGAACGGATCGAAATGAAAGTATTGAGTATGTTTTTATGTTGTTGTTGAAAGTGTGAAGATTAATTCTTGGAAGGAGGGAGTGGACGCGTTGCTGACGTGCACCCGAAGATTAGCCAAAATCACGATTTCACATGATTTGAATAGCTGTATTAGTCATCGGCTAACCCTCGATGCCGGTGTTCAGGCAAATCAAAAATGTAATTTCATGAGTTGTATACTCTATTGTCTTTTCTGTCTTTTTCTTTCAAATCACTCAAAAATATAGCTCTTCAACTCCATTTCGATAACGTTTCAAATTCGTTGTTCTTTAGCCTCACACCCTGGTACATTTCCAGGCTAATCCGCCCTGTGATTATTCTCAAGTTGCTGATGAAGTAGATATCATCCTTCGTTTAAAACCTCCATTTGCATAATGATAACTAGCATATAATCAACTTTCTGAGAGGTCCTTATACAGATGTAATAGCCGTAGATAATCTAATATCCAAGCATTCTTCATCTCTTTGAAAATTTCCCGTGGAAAATCAACTTGAATATATATATTCTTGATTACAAATAGCATCCTCACTCCCTTCAACACAAGCTCTCGATTTAAGCGATTAAACCCCTGGAGAATCCCCGCTAAATGCACTATATCCACTCAAATTCTCGGGTCCTCCGCTCCCTTCAAACATGAACGAAGAACACCCTCTCGAATCCTAATTTCTAATCCTAATCTATACTCTAAACACTAAACAGAAACACTCTACCCCCTTTCCAGCAACGAAGACTTGCCCAAGAATCATTGTTCGAGGGTCCGACCTCTACTTGTAATACATCTGTGCCAAACCTCGTGGTAGCAGCATGCAGACAAGAAAGCTTCGGCGGTGCAACTGTAGGCCGAGTGGGAAAAGAAAAAAGATCATTGTTATTGTCCTAATCTTTATGGTTTATTGTCCCTGGAGTGGTGAGAGGGTGGGATTTGGAGAGGATGCTAGTGCTAACGAGCCAGGAAGTTGTCTAAGTTGAGAGTGCTAATACAAGATTATTGATTATGCTGCATAGAATAGTATTCATGCTAGCCTAATCATGATCGAACATAAGATTAAGGGAGGTTGGTTTGAAGAAGACACAAGCACCAAAATTCCTATTTCGAGTTCGATAGAGGACAAATGCAACCCAACATCAAAGAAGAAAAGAGGATCTGAATATTTAATTATCATCTATCATCATACATCTCATCGTTACTCATTAAGCTAGACTACCTAAGCGATATGATTCATTTTCCTTTCCAAATTTCCCTTCTCACAGAGCAAATGTACGATGTTCCCCATTCCCTTCAGACACCAATAATATTCAGCTATGAAATATTGAAAACGATTTTAATCCCCACCAGCCAAATTTGATGTAACACCACCCCCGTAATATGTAACGTCAATGATGCTTGAATTGCTCTGCCCGCCCATTACCCCATTATGTGTCGTTCATTCGTAAAATCTTCGCGTCAAACTGGTCAGCATCCCTTTTTGACTACTCCATCGTATTTTTTTGTCACTGTTCAAACCACTGAAAATCTTGTCTTTTTCTGTAACTTGTTTGGGTGTAGTGGTGCTAATGAATCAGAGTTATTGACATTCCAACTCTCGTGACGGTTGACGCCTTTTCCTTTGATATCCATAGGTGGTTGAGTACCGAATGTGCCTGCAGGTAAAATCTCGAAACCAGAATTGACTCTCCTGATTGCCTTATTTTGATGAAGTTCTCCAGGTATAAATTGCGAATATGGAGAGCGACTCTTAAGAAGTGGAGCCTTAGACTCGATGGTGTTATCAGTGTATCGTTGATCTTCAACCGGTTGAAGATTAGATCCATGTGCTCTGTCCATACTGCGTAGATGAGGCGATGCAAATGGATCCATTTCATCTTCCTCAGGGAAAAGAGGAATTGAAGAATATTGACCCTTGCCTTTAATTGTTGGTTGGTGAGAGAATGATGGAAATGCGGGAGTCAAGACTTCTGGAGAAGGAGTTCGGGTAGGATAATTGAAAGGTCGGTTAGGTTGTGGATGTCTAACACGAGAAAAAGTCTCATCAGAATCATCAGAAGTACCAGATGAGCGTTCGTTATCAGCAGCGGCGGCAGCATCGGAGAGTGAGAGTGAAATCGATGCATCTGATCGCCGACCTCCACGAGGTTTATGAGTATAAACTCTACCAGTTTCTGAATTTCCTACTAGATGACCAAGTGTCTCTTCATCATATTGATGTTCTCCGACTGTTCCAAAACGTAATTGCGACGACTTTGTTGGCTTGTAGGTTGCTCGTTGACGAGATGAGCTACGAGGATCGGTGATAAGGGTATCATCATCGCTAATACTTCTGTGGCTTGAGAGTAGTGCAGATTCGCTATATCGGAAATTTGGCTGACCGGCTTTGGGAGGTGTTGGATGATTATGACTATCGGGAGATGCGTGTGCGTTGGAGTTTGAATCTGGAGAAGAAAGTTCAAAAGATGAATGGCGCTGGAGTTTGATGCTAGGCACAGGAGTATTGGTTCCAGATATCCATATTCCATCCACTTGAATGCCACTTTGAATGGCACGAACTCCGAAGGGGATATCGGCGCCTTTCATGGGTTCGACAAATTGTCCACTTTGTCGTAACTCTTGAATCTTCATGCGCTTCTCTTCATCAATAATCTCCTGTCTAGCCACTATTCTGTTTGTCCATAGTAACTTGATATATCCCGCGCAAAAAACTGCCACAATAGCACATCCCAAAACCTGATACATATTAGTGGACTAATTGCAGACGAAGGAGATGTAGGAAACTTACAAATGTCATCTTTTCCCACAATTGCCAGGAAACGAAGAATGATATTGCCATATTGAATATGAATTCCTGAGTCTTTTCGAATTCTGCAAAGTAATCTCAAAGAGTGTTTTGAAATCGTTTTGTCCAATTAGATACAAAGCAAATGCTTCCTAAAACTAGGAAGCTTCTACAGACTCTGAAAAGTCTGTGTGGAAGGTAGATATCGCAGTATGAGTCGAAGGAAATGAAAGACGCGGCAGAGAAAATTTTTTATGTCCGTGAATTTGCTGTCGCCAGATTTGGAAGTCACTCTCTCATAAAGTGTTTTCTGTTTAGGCAAGAATAAATCCCATCCAAAAAGAAACGTGCTCAGTTGTTGACCTTTTGAAATAATATTTTCCAGCAAGAATAACAAGAGGTACTCTCAAATTGGTTGTCGCATCAAACTTCTTCTGATTATTGAAAGCAATACCTTCGTTCTCACTGCTAAGCGTCTCTTCAAGTTCCTAATGTTTGATATGGTAGCGAACGTAGGATGGCCGATGTTACTAAATGAAGAGGCTTGGAAGATTTGCGACCGATAAGATAAATGTTTGGTGAAAGGGAGTGAATATATTATTCAGATTCAGGTGCGTGTCCAACGTTGATCAAAGTAAATATTCTGGCATGTGGTTGATGTTGTGGTTGTTACTCCAAAAAAAAGAAAGGTAATCGCTTTGGGAAGGTCGGTTGAGAAAGTGAATGTTCTCTGCTCTTTCACTTGGGAGAAGAACACCAGGAAAGCTTTTGACATATAATTTCCTTGTGTGCTGGCTCTTCGGGAACCTGCAGATTATACCACACTTTTGGACTTCGAATGAACGTGGTATTTCCAATCTAAATATTCGGAAATTTGCGGTACTACAATCATGCATGCGTACCTTAACACCTCTTTGAAATGGTAGGAATTATTCCGAAGAATCCTCGAAAGCAGTACAACTCCAAATACTGGAAAGCAACCCAAGTATGTATTTTCAACTAATACCCACGAAGACGAATGATAAGAGAGAAAACCCTTGGTTCCGTTCTCAGGGATGGGTCAGAAGACTTTTTCTAACATTTGAAGACAAGTCTCTCACAATTGGGAGGAGGATGGAACTTGATATACAGATACGAGGTTCAATGGAACGCATACATGAATACCATCACATTTGAGTTTCTCGAAACCTTGTCTGTGCCTGCAGGTCTCAGTATCTGGGAGCATCTCTAACAAAAAAGAAAATTTATTTTTAGGAGGATATGCATATTAAAAACGCGCATAAGACCGACGAGATCGGGTTGGCTGAGATATTCGTTTGCTTCTTTCTACTAGATGCATATCATGCGAGTAGACCTGAAGTTCATCAATCAGAAGTCGCCGATGAAAGAATTTGCCCATTAGGCTATTCTAGATAAAAGTTTTGACCAGCTTTTCCTTCTATAGTCAAGTGACACAGGTAACACAATAGGAGTGGTGCCATGATCTATTGAATATATCTCCATGTTGGTAATTGTCACACAATTCGGAGGCCGGGCAGAATGGAGAGAAGTTGGAAGGCTGATGAGCTTAAAATACAAGCTTTTCTCTTTCGACTTTAGATGTTCGTGCCCGTATTTCAACCTCCATTTCGTTTACTGCTTGTCATGTTGAGAACGTGTCAAACGTTTGCCAAGTATTCTTAAGAGATCAATTAATAAGAGTTCGTGCCATCGCGGGAGAGAGGAAAGATTTTTGACAAAATGAAAAAATCGGAAGGATGATTCCTTGGTGTTAGTGGGAGCTTCGAGAAGTATTCGAAATTATGGACCCTTGATCTGACTACCGCAGCAGATCAATGTTTCCAGACTACGAGGCACCATAAAAGATCAAGAATGGAAGAAAATCCGGAGAGTTACAACACTCAAGGTTTGGTGCTGGAAGGGAAGTCTATGAATTCGTTCAGCTCTTACGCTTCCTTGGCCATACGTGTTACATGTTCGAAAGAGTTGCTCGAGAAAATATGCTGTCAACTACTCAGCTATCAAAAACGTTCCGACTACTGCATGGATCGGGAGGAGAAGCAAGGTAGGAATCACGATTATAACTGCTGTTCATCTGAATTTGGGATGTCGTTTCAGCTGCTGAGGATATGGGAATCGCAGCAAAAAGTGCGACTCATGTCATACATTGTCTATTCGCATCGACTTTTCTAAATCCCTTTGGAATTATCGTTGGTGGCAGCTAGCGATACGTCATACAATTCTAGAGCTCATCCCGAAGGATTGGTTAGGGCCCGAGTAAATACATTTATTCGCCTTATTGTCAATGTCATGCCGTCGTAAGTATTGTGATAAACCTTAAATAATTCCAACTTTCCACATCCATCTACAATGGAACCCAACTCTCTTCACCAAAATCTTTGATATACACGGTAGGGGATTATTTCCAATGATCGATAATGCCTTGGAATGATCGACCTCGGTTCGGCCAACGAGAGATCAATACAAACAATGGAGACCGACCCTCTCTCGTGATCAGCCCAGAAAACGGAGCACTGAGCGTCCGAGTGGCTTAGGGAAAAATCGTTTCTAGATAAACAACCAATCAGCCAATTCTTGCAACGAAGACGTCAATGCTAAACTCTCGAGTCTTTAAAGTTCAGTCCTCGAATGGTTCAAATTTCCCAGCCCACTTCGTTTCCAAGTTTGAGTTCCAAAGACAATTGATTTATATCTCGTAATTGCTCAATTCTGTTGTACATTATACAAGACCCAAAAATGCCGATTATTCGAAATCCATTCGCAAGGAAACAGGATGCTGGGCTGCAGCCATCTCAAGACCAAAATGTATCTCCCCGCCCTTCCTTCGAACGAGTTTCTACACAAGCCTCTCGAGCATCTTCGATGAGTATCAAAACGGCGAAGAGCGAAGAACCTCCGGAGTATAAAATGAGTGGTATGATGCCTTTGTTTAGATGCAACCAGGGTCGCTCGGAAGCAATGGGAAAACTTGGCTAACGGGAGAATTGTATAGTTGTAAACGATAGTGGCGTGTATCTACCTGTCAGTATGGGCAAACCCACGACATGTCAATATAACTAACTAGTCCCAAAGCCGTCCCCGCCGGAAAAGAAAAGTTTCTGGCCTCGTAGCAAGAGCAATTTTTCTGCAACCTCAATCAACACCCGAACGACCTCAAATGATGCGATTGATCCTTTCCCAATTTCAAGAGAGTCGTTTGATTCATACAGAAGATCATTTGTAAGTTTAGACTTCCCAAAATCGTGATGCAAGTAGGTCTCTGATCTTTGCAAGGATATCTCAGCTAGATCGCCCATAAGCCCCATCGATGGACACGGTGGACGACAAAGTCTTGATTCAGCAAGACTACCTCGAATGCAGCGGTCCGCTATTGGTGATAGACGATTCCACAGACAGCCACCAACGGCCGAAGAAGGATTCGAAGATGTAGGGCTGAATGATGGCGCCAATGACCCCGCCAAACAGATCAAAAAGAAGGGATTCTTTTCAAAATTCGGCGATGAAGCACTCCCATCATTTCATATGCCAGGTAGAAAGCGTGGCCAAAGTGGTACAGGAGAAGAGCTCGGGAATATCCCGAAGCCAAGCAACACGACTCCAAAGGTCGAGATAGATGAGGTTCGCTAGGGCGTAATGATGAGTCTGAATCTTCTGGAAAGGAGAAATTAATAGGCGTTTGGACTGAATTTTTGTATACACTGCACTAGTATACCTACAATCGCTTGGGAACTGGTCTTAGAAGTAGTGCGGCGAGGGCCGTACATCAATTCCAGATGCTACAAAGCTGCTGGTATAATGATAATGTAAAACTTTAATAACACAAGGCTTGTTCTGTGACGTCTAACGAGTATAGGTGATAGTCGAAGCTAGAGGTATGGCCATCACTAGTAGTGTGGTATGGCAAGCCTGCTTAGGAGATATCGGTTTCTACACTAGGTACTTACAGAATCATGTGAAACAATCTTCCTATATCGTCTCATGTTTTCTCAACTATAAACAGAGAGATTCTGGATTGTGGTAACGGATCAAGCACAAGTTTGAAATCCAACCGTATGGAATTACAATCTTCAGGTTGTCTAGAATGTCGAAAATGCAAGACCTACCGGGTCGGGTGCCTATGATGGAATTTGGCGGGGCAGATTCGAGGATTAGCGTTATCGACTAGCTTATCGTCAGAAAAAAAGTTGTTTTCTGCCCATTCCCCAGAAACTTTTTTTCAGCATCGAGCATTCACCCCTCTAACCATCGATCCTTTTTCTACCGTCATAAAACTTTTCAGATGGCGAAGACTAAGCCAGGAAACAAGAAAAATAACAAAAGCGAAAAAGCAGCCCTCAATCGCACTTCCGCAAAATCTACAAAAGCTTCTTCACCGCCCGCGACGCCAATGGATTTAATACTAAAAGCAACGAATCGTCTACAAGAAGGCGACATTGAAGGTGCTGTGCCTTTTGCGAAGAAGGCTTTGGAATTGGTGGATGTTCAAGCAATTGAAGCACTGCCCGTCTTGAATCTGTTGGGAGAAATTCACGTAGAATTGGGAGATGTCGATTCGGCGAGACAATATTTTATGCAAGCAGCTGGAATCGATGAGGATGGAGAGGTGAGCGAGGAAGTTGGAGGTGGAGCTGAGAAGTTTTTATGGTTGGCACAGCTGAGTGAGGAGGGTGGAGAGGATAGTGTTGGATGGTATGAAAAGGGAGCCATTAGTTTGAAGGCACAGATTGGAGCTTTATTGGAGAAGGCAGAAAAGAATAAGTTGGACGAGGCGGGGCTCGCTGCTCTGGAGGAGAAGAGGAGGAAGTTGGCTGTGGCACTCTGCGGTGTCGTCGAAGTTTATATGACGGATTTATCGTGGGAAGAGGATGCGGAACAGAAATGCGAGGCATTGGTCACAGAAGCTACTATGGTCGCACCAAATTATCCTGAACCATGGCAGACATTGGCAAACGTCAGGATATCACAAACGAGAATGGAAGATGCGCAAGCAGCATTGAAGAGAAGCTTAGATTTGTGGAAAGATTTACCTCCCGAGAGCGATGTCGTCCCGGATTTCCCTACGAAGGTCAGTCTAGCGAGATTGTTGATGGAGGCGGACATGGATACAGAGGCCATTGAAGTACTAGAACGCTTGGTTGGGGAAGATGATACTAGTGTCGAAGTTTGGTACTTGGGTGGTTGGGGATTGTACATTATGGGAGAGAAACAAAAGAACGAAGAGAACAAACAACAAGAGAGTAACGGTGATGGAGAGAGTTGGAGGGTCTCTTGGATTTCAAGTCAACAGTGGTTAAACCATTGTCTTCGGCTCTTCGAGCAACAAGATTATGAAGATGAGCGCCTTGGTGCTCACGCTAAGGAGCTCATCTCGATTTTGAACGCTGAATTGGGAGAGGAGGTCACGAACGCTAAGGTTGAACTTGGAGACGATGGAGAGGGCTGGGAGGAGGATAGTGATGATGACGAAGAAATGGCCGAATCGTAAAATAGATTTTCTGGGTACAAGGGTTGAAAAGTGTTTGATTCCAAAGGAATATGGAAGTATATCACGGCGTTTGTACAGGGCGAGCGCAACGAAAGAGCTGTTATGTGATGACTGATAGATAATGAAGAGACTTATGGCAATGACCATTGCGTATCCAATACGAACGGCGCGTTTGGACATGTTTTAATCCTCCTCTCACTTCATTCCGTGTTATTTCTACTTTTATGGACAAAATCTCTTTGTAGACTGCCCCAAACCAACGCCAGCAATGCAACTCCATACCTGGGAATAATATGTAACCATATAATCATGTTTCAACCTTCAGCTTATCCACACCCTCAATAGGTACATCATCATAGTCCTCATCCTCCTCAACCTTTCCAGCCATACCTCTCTCCCAAAGTTGTCTTCCAGTAAGCGCAATGACAGCATCCTTCCCCTTATTCTTCTTTTTCTCTGCCGCTTCTTCCTCTGCTTCCTCCTTGACCTTAATTTCTTCCATCTCCTTCTGGAACCCTTCTCTCCACTTCATAAATGACTCTCTCGTAACCGGCTCTCCATGAAACTTCTTATTTTCCTCGGCCTCTACCGCCAACAATTTCTGCTCGTGTTCTCTTTCCTTTGCTTCCTGTCTTTGCGCAATAAGTTGCTCTGCGTTTTCTTTCAAAGTAGAGACTAATGTGAATATCATAGCCATCCCCATGTTCTCCTCAATTGTCTCGGCCAGTCCATCAAGGAGGATTTGTTTATCATTTGCGACACTGAAAAAAGGATGAATAGGCGCATTAGGAGTTGGTAGTAAATCTAGAACAGGTGGTTCTTCGGGATATTCTTCTGGGTATTTGACTTGTAGAAGCATCGTTGGAGGTTCTGATTCGTCGCCATCTTGGTTTGTCACGTCGAGTAGAATCGAAACTCGATATTCTGTCTCTGATATATCTGTGAAGAGTGTTAGGAGGGTTTGCTGCGGGGAGGACAAGAATCTAGAACCCGGCGCTACAAATTGTCGCCAGAACAAACATACCATGAATTTCCTCTGGGAAAATACTGTCGAGAACCTCCCTCTCCTCAATTTGGTCTTCTCTTCCCATCTTGTGTAATTGCTTTACTATTTCCCTTTAAACAAAAGCCTTCGATATTTCGTGGGGTGGTGGGTTAAAGTTATGCTATCCAAGATTAGCTTAGCGCCGATATGAAAAAGTTTATCTTTTATCAGACAAAAAAAAGTTCCCCAAGTAAACCACGAGGCAGCCCATCCGTGGAAATCAAATCAACAATTGTACCAAAATGGCTCCAGTAACAACATCGAAGACAATGGTGACAGGTATGAAGAGAAAGTCGGCGCCTGCGAAAGATGTTCATGTAAAGGAAAATAAAAAAGCGAAAATTGATTCGGGGAAAAAGGGAAAGGACTCAAAATCTAAGCCTAAGCCTGTGAAGAAGGTCGAATCCGAGAGTGAAGAGGATTCGGACTCTGACGATGGAGGAGCTGCTTTGGACTCTGCTTCTGCAGATAGCGAGGATGGAGATACGGAGATGAAAGACATTGAAGGCTTACATCCAGACAGAGTTAAGGCCGTTGCCGCAAGCAGTGAGCTCCCTCCTAACATCATGTTAAAGGGTTTTCATACTTACACATCATAGGTCAATCATCGAAAGAAGCACATGCGAAACAAAAGCAATTGGCAAATGAGAGAAAGGCCGCAAAACCATTAGCAGATCAATTGGCACGCACGAAGAAGATTTGGGAACGTTTACGCCGAAAGTCGCATGTCCCAAAGGAGGAGAGAAAACAATTAGTCGAGGAACTTTTCGAGCTCATCACTGGCAGGATCAAGGACTTTGTTCTTAAGCATGACAGTGTAAGAGTTGTCCAAACCGCAATCAAATATTCAAACCCAGAGCAAAAACGATTGATCGCAAAGGAGCTTGCGGGAACATATCGTCAATTGGCCGAGAGTAGATACGCCAAGTTCTTGATCGGAAAACTGTTGGTCCAGGGAGATGATGAAATTAGAGACCTTATTGTTCCTGAGTTTTACGGACACGTTCGTCGACTTATCAAGCACCCTGAAGCTGGATGGATTCTCGATGATATCTACCGTGGAGTCGCTACCAAGCAACAGAGAGCTATTATTCTTCGAGAATGGTATGGCGCTGAGTTCGCCGTTATGGAGAGAGATACCTCTACATTCTTGACTGGAGAGCTCTCAGAGATTTTGGCTGCTGAGCCTGGAAAGCGAGCACCCATCATGCGATATCTACAAGAAATGATCAACCATCTCTTGCAGAAGAAGACCAACGGTTTCACTCTCCTTCACGATGCTATGTTGCAATATTTCCTCAATGCTAAGCCAGGTACTGAGGAAATCACCGACTTTATTGAGTTATTGAAGGGAGACGAGGAAGGCGATTTGATGAAGAATTTGGCATTCACTAAGTCTGGAGCAAGAGTCGTTTGTCTTGCTTTGGCATATGGAGGTGCCAAGGACCGTAAACATATCCTCAAGATGTACAAGGATACGTTACAACTGATGGCAGGAGATCCAAATGGCCACATTGTTATTCTCACCGCATATGAAGTCATTGATGATACCGTCTTGACTGCGAAGTCTATTTTCCCAGAATTGCTTAGCAAGGATGAAGAGAAGCAAGTCGAGAACATTGCATTCTCCGCCAACGATCTCAACGCCCGTACTACACTTCTTTACCTTTTCCAAGGTCGCTCAAAATCCCTATTCCCAGCAAGCCATAACTCCGATCTCGAAATTCTCGCTGAAGTTGATACAATCAAAACTACTACCTCTAAAAAAGACCCAGAAATACGTCGTCAAGAATTAGTAAAGTCTCTCTCCCCCTACCTCCTCAAGGCTATCGCCTCTGCAGCTAGAGAACTCATCGCCACATCTTTCGGTTGTCAATTCGTAACTGAGGTTCTCTTCGGCGCCGAAGGAGATAAATCAGCAGCTCTTGAAGCACTCGCCGAAGCTGTATCCGGAGACCCAACCTATGTTCAACCTCCTGTCGAGGAAGGCGCAATGAGTACAGAACCTCCTTCCCATATTGCAAGCACACCTTTCGGTGGAAAAATGATTAAAGCTCTTATTGCAGGCGGTCGTTATGACCCAGCTACTAAGTCCGTTGTGCCAATCATACCAGCATTAAACTTTGCGGATATCTTGTATCCCCATATTAAGGAGTTTATTGTCGAATGGGCGACTGGATCTAGTTCTTTCGTGGTAGTTGCATTATTAGAATCCGAATCTTTTGGAAAGAAAGATGAAGTTAAGAAAGTTTTGATTAAGAACAAGAAGAAGTTGGAGAAAGCGGCAAAAGAAGAGACGGCTGAACAGAAGAGCAAGAGAGAAGAGATCGAGGCAAAGGAGAAGGACAAGAAGGCCAGTGGAAAGGGTGCTGCAAAGAAGGCAAAGGGCGGAAAGGAAAAGATGGTGGGTAATATGGGCTCGAGTTTGATCTTGAGCATGATCTGAGCATGTCACATGGATATAAGTGGATTAAATAGGGGAAGGGAATGGAGATTTGAAGACAGATAGGGGCATCGCTGTATAGAACGAGTGCATTGTAGGAGTCTTGGCGTTGTGTTAAAAAGTGATCCATAGTCTATAGATACCTGGATGCTTTACCTTAGTATCCAATGTACTCAATATAATGTTGCATAACAAAACACGTTCTCTTTGATTGTTGAGTTTAAGTCAAATAGTGAGGTGAGAGTTGATAGAACATAAATATCAATTTCGAGCTCCGTCCGGGGATTTCTTGAGCACCAGTACAAATGATGTTGAATGGGAGATGTAAAAGGAAGAGCATTCAAAGCGTGGTTTTTGTACAAGAATAGCAAGGATCTTACATGCACTTTTAGTTTTCAAATAATCGTTCATATATCAGGGGATAATGAAGGATCAGAACTTTAAATTTAAGCTTTTTGGGGGGCATGGGGGAGGGAAAATCATGTTTGTATGTAAACAGACTTTTGATTTACTCCATCTAATTCTATGTCTATTGAAAAATCCTCAAGGTATATCCAATACCTTGCAATACCCACCATGTGCCCAAGTTAATTCCGTCTCGCATTGCATATCACTTCCTCATCTAATCTTATCCCTCACGAAAAGCACCGACCATTGTGCCCCCTCGCTTCTCACCCCTCAATCGCCAAAGACGCCTTCAAACTCCCCACGACCGCAAAACAAATCAACGGACTAACGGCATAAGCCACCGTTATAAACTTCGCAATCGCCATCTTCTCCTCCTCATCCGCACCACTCACATCCGCCAGCGCTGTGAGTTTCGTAGCCGGTGGTCCCGTCGGCATCAACATCAACACAAACCATAATATGGGATCGTTATCTAACCATCCTGTGTGGGAAGCAATGAGATAGATGACTCCGATGCTGATTATGGGCCATAAGATGAACCGGATGAAGCAGATGGTGAGAACGAAAACTGAGGGGACTTTTCCGCTAGATTCGCCTTTCTTCATGCGTAAGAGGGAAGAGGAAAGTTTGGCGCCTACGACGACGAGTTGGAGGGCGGCGAAGAGCTCGCCGACGTTTTTGAGGGAGGTGGTGAGCCAGGCTTTGAAGATACCGCCGGATGATGGGGAGGCGAAAAAGATGCGGTGGAGAGGGGGAGTGAGGCCCAGGAGAGCACCGAGGAGAGCGCCGAGGAGGGGGGCGTTGATAAAACTATAGAGAGTTGATATTACATTTCGAATCTTGAGAGGGATTCTCTTCCATTCTTTCTTTGATTTTTTGGCGACAGTAGTTCTGCTTCGGGCAACGCTGCGTGGAAGAAGAGTGGATCTTTCGTTTGAGTATTCTTCTTCTTCTTCTGCGGTTCGTCCGGCGGAGTTGGTGGGATGCGCATATTCCTCGTCGCTCTCAGTGGGACTGTGTGTATCGCTTGGTTTTGAGTCTTCGTCGGGTTTGTCGGGGGCTTCTTCGTCATCTAGAAGTCGGGGACCAAGAGCGAAAGTAAGACTGTTTCCTACCATGGAAGAGACGAGGAAATAGGATTTTGCGCGGCTGAGGGCTGCGGAGGGGGTGTCGGATTCGGACATGGTTAGGTTGGTGAGGATACCGGCTGTGTCGAGAGCTTGAATTAAGAGGAGGGGGAGCGCGGTAGTGTTATTGAAACATACTGGTGGATAGTTAGTGGTATGAAAGATGGAGAAAAGCAAAGGGGAGGGAAGGGAGCTTACTGGCTGGTACACACCAAGCGGGAAATTTAAAAGCTCTTTTAAGGAGCGTTCCCAACGCCATTGATGATAAAGTGTATATTAGAGCCCATACTTCACAATCGTTAGCTTTGTATATACACAGACAATTGGGTAAAACTAACCTAACACTGGTACATATCTGTACGCAGTATCCGATTTCAATTCCTCTCCAACATTTGTGATTAAAAGTGCTGGTAGAAACAACCTAACAGCCGTTTTCGAAATATCTCTTGTGGAAGACTCCTTCAACAAATTGAATCTCGATGCAATAACTCCATAACTTATTGTTAAAAGAACTGTCAAGGAGGCTTGAAGGGCTCCTAGAAAGACAGGAAGAATTCCTTCGGTTGCAGAATCCGAACCTCCCATAGTTTTCCTGATGCTTTTGAATTGGGCGAGAAAGTCAGGAAAGAAAGTAGATATTGAGGGAATTGCTAAAATATGTAAGAAACATTCAACTTATCCTACAATATATTACCTGTCGCTTCAATACGCGTTGCAAACCCACCGATGTGGTTTATACGTTTGTAAAATCTTGGTGCCAATGTTGTCTAATGTGCATAACGTCATATTGACAGGGGACACAAAGAACCGTCCGACCAACTAATTGGTAAGATTTGTGGGAAGGAGAAGTTCCAATTTATGCAGGTCCTTATCAATTGATGAAAAGAATTGGAAACAAGCTTTCTGATACAGATCTTGGTGGATTGACAGGAGTGCTTGCTGGAATAGGAGATGTGTACCTCGCATACCTCGCAAACATACTAGTCATTTCGTCTCGTATCTCGTGTCGCGTGTAAAAACTAGACGATTAGGATAGCCTTGGTATATGTAAGATCGAATTTTCGTCTAGTATCTAGAGGAATATCTAGGGATAGACATGCAGTCGAATTATCCATCTTATTTATGGAATGACAGTCATTCATCGCCAAGGGCAAAGACATTAACCTGAGGAAAAAGAGAGTGGTGAGATCATTAAAGTGGTCCGTGCATACATCTTCCACCATCGTTTGCTTCACGTCGCGTGTGCCTCTCTCGAACATACCGACTCCCTTGACTCCATGTATTCGAATAGATCACCAGATTGGTTACATTTAGATGGACATCTCTGGAAGAATGCTTGTGGTAAGCCTTCAAGCGAAGCTTTATCATGCATGATATTTTTAAAAGTTCGGGTTCAACCACAGATGGACGAAGGTACACAAGGATATTTGATAGCTGGCACCAGACCCCGACTTACATGAAGCCTCAAAGTAACGGATAACTTTTATCTTCAAGTTCATAAGGTAGGTAGGGGTCAATAGCAGTCAATCAAAGGCAGGTGTGAAGTGAAAAATGCGCTGTGGATAGGTTTCTTCGTCCATGATATACTATTCCCACTGTCATTCTTACTTTGTTTTTACAGCATCAAATTCAACCTTAACAAGATCTAGAACCATTCATTATCCACAAAATGCTTTCAAATCTTTGATTGTTCGATACGCTGAGGCCGAACACAATATCAAGGTTCGTTTTGCCCCTCTGTACGCACTTCATTCTTATATTGATCCCCATCAAAGCGCTAGTTCTATATTCTAGATCCAATCTTAACTCCTAGAGGTCGTACATAATGTCGGAGTCTTCGTAATATATTCCCATATCATAATAAGATTGACCTAATTCTCTCATCGCCCATCGCCCATCGCCGTGCCATTGAAACCAGTCTCTTAGCGTTTAGTAATACACTTTCTCGACCGAGGTTCCTTATTTCTAGTACCTAATGCTCAGGAAGTTATTGCAAAATCTTGTGATACAGGGTTTTCACTAGACGTGTTAAGGAATGTAGAAACTCCCAAACTGTTCAAGGATGAGGGATTAGTCTTTGGCGCGGAGAAGATAGGTTCCGATTTTAGGGAGGATGTATCGAATTTGAAGGTTTGTATAATGTTTTTGCTACTTTTGAAGACCAAAATCATAGAGGATATCAGAAGAGTTTCTGAGCATCCAGAAAATTGTTCCTGTAACTTATAATGTGTTATCTTCCAAAAAGACCTCTACGTACTTAATCATGAAGCCGTTGCAGCATGGGCTACTGCTCTTCGAGCATGGCTCTATATGATTGAAGCACAGCACACTGTTCTAGTGACACTTGGAGGTTTCCTTCATTACTTGACCGAGGACGGGACAGTCAGTGATCCGAAAAAGGGTACTTTCTTAAATACATCCTACCCTCTCCTTGATCAGTCGTCTAACAATAAACATGTACTGGTTACAACAATTGTGAAGTCCGAAAATTCACGTTTACAAAAGACTCGACGGCAAAGAAGGCTAAGATTATTGAAGTAGGAAAGATGAAGCATGGTATGGAGACTGACAGCACTATTCTGGCGGAATTGGATGAGGTCAAATGATTCTTGGAGTGAAGATCAAAGGCGTTAATGCACGACTTCTTCGAGTAGAGTTGAGAGGTGAGGACGATGATGACTTAAAAGTTATTTTGATGGACAAGAGGGACGAGAGCTCGAGTATCTTGGACGAAGGGGTGATACAAAGATCATGCCAAGCAATTGTTAACCTAGCAAACAAAGGATATTCCCAGGGGTTACTTTCTCTGAGCTGTATGTATGCTGATACCATAAGAATAACTGTGGAGAAAAAGGGGACAGCATGCTTGGCTTTGAAGTTTTGGTTATCTTTTTCTAAGGGGAACGACTACAACACCAAGTAACTTGGATTGTACAAATTCTTTATATGCAAATTATTAAGGTCCTATGAAATTTTTTCATCTGGAGCACAAGTGGTGTCTCGAGATATAAATGCTCAAATCGCTGTTCTACCCGTGGTAAATTTTTCAATAAGACAATACACCACCGAAAAATGACCAACGCATTGTCACAAACGCATTCACAAGCGAAGATCACCCCAGCCTCAATCTAGGTGTCTTTCGAGTCGTCAGAAGAGCCTCATGTTTTATCTGAGGGTTTTTCTATATATGACTCCCTACGGGATGGGACTGGGTTTGACGTTCTTGCTTATAGCTATGTCAAATTCAATCCTGGTCTTTAGGAATCAATCAAAAAAATATTGTTTGGAAACTTTCAGATAATATATAAGAGGGTTTTATAGATCAGGAAGACACTCATCCTTAATTGCGCCCCAGCCTCGGATATATAGTTTCTGAAAACGAACAAAGCCTCAACTATTTCCATGTCAGTGGTAGAGTTCATCGTTCCTGAATGATTTTCTGCCCGCATTACCATTTTGCAATTGGGGGATCAACGATCGGACAGTGACATACAATCTACATCTTGTCATGTAGATATGCTTTGGTTCATTGGGTTGGAGTTAAAGGGCATCGTGATCTTGGAATTTTATTCTTTTAATATCCTGGGGGAGAGATGATGTGGTTTAAGCGGAGATTGGTGATGAATGGTAGTTTAGCAAGAAGACGAGTTGGCAATACGTTTATTTTTGGAAGTCAAAAGTGGATTTTGTTTTGGTTATATGGATAGAGTCTAATGCTTCCCTTACTACTAATCATTTTGGCTGGAGTGAAGTATGAATTTTCGAGCACTTGGGAAAGACAATTGGAAGTCATTTTGGGTGGTAGGGCGGACACACTCGTTCCTTCCCTTTTGATATCGCAGTTGGTACGTGATAATAACAACATAGGCAGGAGCTGTCACTCAGAAACAAGAGATCTATGCGATCCTTCCAATTTAAGCTGAGGTAAATTTTTATCGCGCTTACAATCATCCTAATTTCATCTCCTGGTCTCATTCATCCTCTGTTCGCACAAAAAACAAGCCTTCCCGCTCACATTGACCTTTGAGCTTCAACTCTCACATCTTAGGTCTTTGATTGTACAGACAACGGAAGTCTTCTATCTATCAACTCGATTCATTGTCTGCCAATATCCTCGAGTACACAGATGAGAGCATATCTCAAATTATCCAGCACTTTAAACTCGAACATCTAATTTTCTGTGATCTGCTACCGACGCAATGAACGCTCAGCAGGAGCTCGAAACAGCTGGAATTATCGGTGCCACTATAGCACCCGGAAATCCTGTGACTGTGATCCATCAACAACATGTATCGGTATGCTTCCTGTTGCAGTTCTTACCTGCCTTCGTTCTTGGTAGGAAATATAGCTGATGGATTTCTGCAGCCCGCACTTGTCAATCGCATCAAAAATCTCGAACTATCTAACAAAGCACTGAAGAATAGGGTTTTAGGCCATGAGAATACCATTGCAAGTTTGGATCACAACTTGAAAGTACAAGCTTGGCGTGTTCATGCTTTAGAGCTCAATCAGCAAAATCAAAATGCGGTCATTCAAAGCTATGATATGGCTCGAAAATCGTACGATATGCAAATCGCGACGTTGAAGTCGTACGAAAGCTGCTATGATACGCAATTCAAGACACAGCATATCCTAAGAAGCACACAAGATGAGAAGATCCAGTTACTAGAAGACAGGCTCAAGATGCATGAAGATGGCTTCATGAACAAAACCAGCACATGTATTCAATCTATCGGGTTAGATTTGAAGTCTCAAAAATTGAAAATTGAAAATCATGAGCGCAAGTTGGACGAGAAGTTAGCTTGTTATGAATTCGTTTTGATGGAAAATCAGAAGCGTGAATTGAGCGAGAAGTTTGCGTCGTACGAGGCAGTATTGCTTCAGAAAGTCAAGAAGAGTATTCTGGCGAATTTAATCGGCTCAGAAACTCAACCTAGTGATGACATTGGCGTCAAGAATGAGCCTCGAACCGTATGTTCTTCCCAATATCTATGGATTCGATGCCCCAAACTCAATTCAAGTCGCGCACTTCATACTCAACACTAGTCTGATCACATACTGATTTTCGGATGTCTCGATAGAAAATGAAACCTCGAATGGACTAGATACGACAAATGAGCGCCTGAATTCGAATGTCCTGGTTTTGATGCAGCAAAGAACACGAATGCCGTGTATCACATTACTGGACCAGGGTCAGAAATCAGGTACGCCACATCTATCTATTTGCTGTCTGAAAAGGGTACAAAGTGCTGAGTGCTCTCAAATTCTAGTTGTGCTAACGTCTTGTCTCTTTATAGAAAGGTAGTTGACTATAATGGAGCTATATATCCTAATTTGCTCTTGGCTTTGGAGTCTAGATGGAAGCATTTGGTAGTAGGCAGTATAATATGTTGGGAGAAGATTCGCAAAAATATGGAAGAATAGGAGACTCAGAATGTATAAAAGGCCTCAAAGTTCGCTTTGTGCTTTGATGTTCTTTGTGAATATCATTGTCATATTAACATTGCTATATTAAATACTCCAAGAAATGATATTTGTTTTTACCGCTTATATGAATGAACAATACTCTTGACTCAATAAGTATCTATTCACTTCACTTTCTCACCACATTGAAGCTAATTCGGAAATCCTTCGAATTTAAAATACACATAAACCACCCAAGGGATTATTCCACGACCCAAACCAGTCTTGATTCTACGGATCAGCAAAGATGTCCAAATCGCTAGAGCTCGAAGATGGCTTCGTAAGTTTTAATCTTGTCTCTTTCACGATCGCTTGAAATTTCACTGACAATTTCAATAAAGAAAAAATCTTGCGCGGATTTCGATCAGAACGCTCTTGAATTGAACAAACAAATACGAGCAACACAAGAAGAGCTTCAGCAGCATAAGGAAAAGAATGACGGGCACATTGCAGAGTTGCAGGGGATTCAAGAGAGGCTGAAGAATATTACAAAGAAGTTACAGGAGACGGGTGCTGAGCACAAAGATTGTTGTGGATTGGTTGGGTTTGGTGGTGGAGATGAAGATAGAGATGGGAATGGAAATGGAAATGGAGATGCAGATAAGAACATAGATGGGAAGGTGGAAGGGTCTTGATCTATGTGAGTACTAGGTAGACGCCTTGATTTTCGACCGGCGAGCTTCTGGTTGCTTTCACTCATTACTGGACGCTGGGTGTAAAGAGAATTACTGATACTTCTGTCTCCAAGTCATGGAGTATAGTATCGCCGGGTCACAGAATAGATTGGGTATAATACAAGGACTGGATAACGGGATTGGGACAGGATACATTGAGCAATCCTACGTTTTTGATGTGATTTTATGGGAGATCTAGGGGAAAGAATTTTTAGGATTTAAGACCCCCGTGAAAAGCATAGAAAAGGTTATCATTGACCATACTCATGCTAGAGTTCCAGAGAGAAGCAGAATCACAAGGAGGTTGAATGCAGCGCTGATAGAGCTTTATGGGGCATGATTTAGATGCAGGAATGTGAAGTGGCATTTTGTTGCATGGCTCCAGTAGGTACCTAGGTATTCAGGGCTATCTCAAATGTTTCTGTTTTCTGATAACAAATAGTGAATAATAAATCATCTCACTAAGAAAGAAAAACTGCCATAATGATTGGGTCCAATATTTGGCAGTAAATGTATCTCAATCCGCTTCCCTGCCATGGAGAGATTATTTATCACAGATCCATAAACACATAAACCCCTCTCAAGCTCCGGTCTCGAAGCTATTGAAAAATTCATCGGCCCTCTGCACAACAACCTCTGATTTTTTACCAAGCATCAAAGATGCCTTCATCATTCCTTCAAAAGCGGTAAGTAAAAATATGAATCATTTAGTTTCCTCTATACTAACAAGATGTCAATAGGAAAATCAGCGCTCTAAATATGCAAAGATTTACAACGAGCTCGCTGTACTTCTCGTTCGGTATCAACAAGATGTATAAGAGCACAAACTGGATATTGAAACTCTTAAGTTGGAAAAATAGAAGCAGAGATGACGGGAACCTTCTGGCAACGACTTCGATATATCGCCATTTTGTACGCATGGAAGAAGACTCTCGGCTAGATGGAGGAGCAGGTAGAACTGCTTAAGGAACTGGACCTGAAATGTGTCGCTCTATTGGAGGAAGTGGAAAAGATTATTTTGCAATATTCTGCTCTTGGTCCTGAGGAACAGCGTACTGGGGAACCTTGATGATTTGTACTGAGATGTGTGTCAGTATCAATCTGATGTGAGCATTTTGCATAGATCTTAAGGGTCATGGGCCACAACAATGATGATTGAGCTTGGGGAAGTGTTCTAAAGGGTGTCGAGTAAGGATTTGCCATTTTATATAACATTCAGTTTCCCTTCTGAAGAATGACAATAAATACCAAGCACTTTCCTGTCCTTCGTTGATATCAGTCCCTAGATTCATGCATGTTTGCTCGTAACTTTGATCAAGTGAATCCTTTATTTAGCGAGCTATATTGTCTTCCAAGTCTCGAAGTTGTCCAGATACTTCACCTTCTCAGCTCAAGTCCAAGATCCTATCTTGGTCTTTACCAAACCTCTTAGATCAAGATATAGCTTCTCATTAACGCAAACCACCACTACAGCCATAAAATGCCTTCCAGAATCGAGGAGAACAAATACGAAATCATGGATGTAAGTTGCCTCACACTAGAAACCCCCCCCCCCCCCCCCCCAGATCGATATCAAGCCATTCTAACCCTATATTTCCCAGATACTTATCAGAATCAACCATGCCGGAGACCAAATCAAAGAGAATACACTGCAAATCGAACAAATCATGGCCTCTGGTGTTGTCACTCAAGAAGAAGACTGTACGATCAGAAATTGCAGAAAATTGATCGAGTTTTCGAATGGTCAACTGGCTAGTTACAAGTATTACCTATCATGGTGCTTGTGTGCAGAGGGAATAAGTGATGAAGAGAGAATCGAGGCGGGAAGAAAGGCATACTTGCTTCATCAAGCTGCTTGGGCTTGCTTGGAAGGTAAGACATCTCATATTTTGTTTGAACTGCTCTGTCATAATTCTACGAGGAATGGGTATTTGCGAATATCACTAACATCGTTCTTCGATAGAACCCATCTAAACTCAGAACGAGGATAGCCAATTCGAGGCGTTCGTCGCGGGAAAGGATATACGGAAATTGGGATACAACATACGTTGAGCTTGCAGTTAACTGGCTCTGGGATGACGGATTTGATCATCGAAGAACTTCACGAGCATTCCGATTTTATGATAAGTGATAAATAATATACGTGAACAATCTTCTCTAAAAACAAATTCAGTTTTGGAAAGTGAACGCACATGACCTTGTCTGCTTTCTCCAGCACATAACGTGACGTCAAACTTCCTACTCATGGATGATATTTATACCCCACAATCTCTCGAAAGCCATACAATCCCATCAAACTCTTATTATCCATATTCAACAGTAACTTAAACCTTTTACAATCCAAAGTTTACGTACACTGTCTTCGATTCAATAGAACTCATTCCCATGCAACATGGCCGATCTCAGCACTACTAGGCTAAATGATCGAGTTACGAGACTTGTAAGCTTCCGCCTTATCCTCCCCTTCCTTCACATAACAACTGAACCTAACACACCTTTCCCAGAATCAAGCTGTTAGAGATCTCCAAGACTCATCAAGTGAAACGCCCGATGAATCGTTAATCGAACTTATGAGACAGATTGAAGAAATGGCGCGCGAGATTGTTCGAAGAGTTGCCGAAATAGAGAGAGAATTGGCTTTGATATCAGCAATCAGAGCTCTGGAGAACTTGCGCAATCTCGTCAGAGAAGCTAGGGAATGATATTGATATTGTTGATTGGAAGCATGCGAATTGGCTCGAATGTCCCCACACCATGGTCGATCGTTACCCGCTCAATCACTTTTAAAAGCATTTGCTTCTCTTACGAGATCAGTCTTTCTTTCTTAGCATCTACATATCCGAATACGAATGCGAGTTTTTCTACAGCCAGAAATCATAAGCAACTTTAAAACAACAAACCTCCAGCAAATTTCGACAATGGATTCTAACCTTCATGAGCAAGAACTTCAGCTAGCCGACTAAGTAAGTTTTAATACCTGTTCTTTCAATTCTCATTCAGGACGAATGATTGACAGATTTCTACAGGACGAGGAATTTGAACAAGACGAGTAACAACTTCGAATATGAAGGGAAGAAACAGTCCGTTATTAGCGTCAAAGAAGGGTAATTGCGAGGGCTCTTGAGTATTTGCAAAGTGTTGTTGAGGAAGCAATCTTGCAATATGGTGGGATCTAGAGAAGTGCTGGAGAGAAGGCTGGAGATCTGCTGAGGCTGCGAAACAAGATATGGCTTTGGGGTATGAGCTAGGATCAAGATACTGGTGCTGGATAGTTCTCATCATGTGAAACAGTTTGCTTTTGACATGTCCTAATTTTATGTGCGGAAAAGCCTTCTTTTTCTTTTTCTGAAAATGCAGTTGTGATGAACATGTGCGTAGATGGGATGGCAGATTGCAGGCACGTGGCAGAGGAGATGGGAATCGCGGGATGTGATTCGATATAGGAGGGAAAAAAGAAGAAGAGTTCCTAGGAAGATATTTCTTGTCACTTCGTAAAAGGTACAGGGGGGGCTTATGGGCTCCAACAGCCTGGAGCAGACATGCAACAAAAAACTGTTAAATTTCCTAGCACGTGACAGACTGGTTCAAGAAACTCATTTGGGTGAATATTTATTATTTATCAAAGTAACAAGAATTCACAAATACCTCAGAGGTTTTCATTCTGTGTATCGAATGTGTTTGCATGATCGTTAGTTGTGATCTTTGAAAAAACCAGAGCCGGTCTGGGTTGGATCAACACCAACCTTGATCTTTACTTCCAGACGCGGATAGATCGCTTAGAGTACGCTACTGGGCGTCAGACATCTTGAGGAAGTAGTTCTAAATTTTCTGGTAGATTTCGAATCCGTAAAAATTCCACTGTCTGATTATAAACCATAAAGCACTCGGTAGATTCTGAGTACAGGAAAAAGTAATGATGAATGGAGAAGAGGCGGACGAGAGAACGCGGAAGAAGAGTCGCTCATTTTCCATGCGGAAGATGTATGGAAGTATAAGAAAAGAAATAGAAGATCGCGCTTGAGCTCATGGATAGTAGTTTCTGTCTATTTCACTTGCCATATAATGCACCTCTATCAAATAGTAGTACTTCAATCTAAACTATCATTGCCGAATAACAAGGCTGATCCTGCGCTTCATTGAATCTCATTAGTACTAGTGCCTAGCTTTTAAACCGAACTTCGTGGTCCCTTTAGAGGAAAATCTACATCAGGAAACTCTCATCGTCTTCCTCAATTCTTAGGCTCGAAACGCCAAGAATTCGCTTATTTTAGGCTAGTTGGTAGGCGTAGATTAGTTTGAATAGCACTTCAACCTCGAAGTAGGTGTGATATTTGAGAAACTTGTAGGTTTGATCAGATACGAAGGGTGAGATAAATTGGGTGTAGTGTTGTGGGTGTAGTGTTGTGGGTGTAGTGTTGTGGGTGTAGTGTTGTGGGTGTAGTGTTGTGGGTGTAGTGTTGTGGGTGTAGTGTTGTGGGTGTAGTGTTGTGGGTGTAGTGAAGTGGGAAGCGCTAGGGGGTCTGATTGTTGGGAGGAATGCTGTCTAGTGGGAATATAGGTAGCGAGGAGACTTGAAGTATCACATTGTGCCCAGGTGTTGATAGATATTTTGTATGGGCTTCTTACGGAGTTTCAGGATTAATGAAGAGGTTACAGTAATGCATTCATGAGGAATCACATACAAGTGTATTGACCTCACAGTTGTCAATTGCTCGAGTGAATGCTTGATTTTCATATGTTCTGGAGCTCACAACAAAAAGAGTTTTGTAAATGTTCTCACACAAAATATACATCAGTGAAACATTATATACTTTTTTCTAACATATTTTCTTGCATGTTTTCTCCTACCACAATAAAGCATGACATCGATTCCCAATTTTCTGAAGGACCAGCATGTATAGCTTGGTAGCTCACTCTAACTCTCTCACGATAATTCACTGTCCCTCGTACATCGGTGCACTCATGTGACAGAGATTATTCACTAGCTAATGAGGCACTGACGGCTCTACTATCCTTCTATTTGCTTGAATTTCTCTAATAATCAGAAATTGTTACATGCAACAACTAACTCGACAAACAACTCAAGTTCTTACACCCTCGACATACCAGATTGAGCCGGTCATTCAGCATCAGTCCTTCAACACCTCTCCAACTTCACAAAGACACCACGCAGATTTCAATTTACAGTCGCAACCGAAAAATGGCATCATCTGAGGCATCAATGATCTCAATTATTGAATCACTCACTCTCGTAAGTAAATTCAAGCACTCCCCGTTGTTTTCCCTGTATAATCGCCGGGATTCTAATTTATATGATCTCATTAGTACGAAGTACTTGAGTTCCTCCCAGTGGCAAAGAGAAAGACTCAGGAATACATCGATACACTCGCAAAATCTACAGCAAGTGCTCTTCGTGAAGAAGAAGATGCTCGTTCTACAATCGCATTGTATGAGTTCTTCCCTGTAGAACGCCAAAGACAACACAAACACCTTTTAGACTCCTTGGCGAGTCTACTCGATAGAATGATTGCTTGTCGGGAGAAGGGTCAAAAGGATATGCATAAGTTCATAGAGGAGTCTATTGACATGGAGAAGGCGTGTATGAAGCGCATTGAGGATTTGATGGCGAAGAAAAAGACTGCAAGGCATATTTGAGAGTACTTCTCGGGCACAAAGAAGTGAATATCCATCATTTTCTGCATCCAATTAACTTTCAAAAGTCAACATGATCTTGAAAATTTTCAACGAATATTGTCTGTAGTGAGTTTTTGACTTATTAGCTTCGCTAAATGATATTTTACTCGGCACCTTTCTTTAAATACTTATACATCAAGATCTTAATATCTCCACACAACTCGAATACTCCACCCAAAATCCCATCTTCGAACTTCATTTCGCAAACATGGAGGAAATGGGCGCCGCCGAGCTGGTTGCAAACATCAGCAAATATGATCTCGTGAGTAAATGCAGGCGCTGGTCTCTCCAGCGAGCGCGTCTCCTCTTTGTTTACATAATACAGTAATAACATGCGCTTGTAGGCCCAAACACTTTACATGATGCCAATTTTCCAAGCACAAAGCGATGCGGTCGCCATAGATCTCCAGAGAGCCAGAGAATGCATTCGCGGTCTCGAAGAGCACACTCAAAGCTGCATTGAACACTATCAACGAGCTTCTTACAAAAGAAGGCAGATATTGGAGCCAAGTCTCCGTAGAGGCCTGAGAAACGGCGAGCGAGTATTGATGAAGTTCAGGAAGCGTCAAAAGGATCTTAAGGCGGAAGAAATGCATTGTATTGCTGTTGATGAGATGATCAGAAAGCGTTGGAAGATTTTGCTGGAGGAAGAGGCGGCTGAAAAAAACGCGTGAGGGTATGTTGTGTGAAACTATTTTCATTCCGGTTACAAAATTATTTGTCTTCATTTCTTGCATCAGATACTAATTATTATTTATTCAAAACAGAACAAATAGATCCAAAGATATCAAGTGCGGGTTAGTGATTCATTTTACGGGTGGAGATCATGGTCAATTCACTGCGGAGGGGAGGTCAACGTTAATGACTGCACACAAGGCCTTCCTAAAATCAAAACCTAGACCAGACTTCTTTGAATACATACGGATACTCTCATGAATTTCATCTGCAACCTTGAAAGTGAAATAAAACCCCTCCCTTCATGCACATGTGGTTGTACCCACTTAAAGTCACACTGTATCCATCTCCTTCTCAGGAAATTCCCAACTTTGGACTTCTCCAACTTCGAAGCAGACTACACCCCCCGAAGTATTCAAACTCTCTAAGGAAATTTACCGTACTACAAAGTCTTAACTCGATATCATCTCCGAATTTCAATATGCCCCCTAAAAGAAATGCCTCCGAAATGATGGGGAGCTCGGGAAAGGCCGAGGATAGTCCCCTCAAGAGAGTGAGTAATCTAGATTCCGCGTTCTCTATCATTTATACGTATCCTTACTTCTATCTGCTTACCCTCTGTTTAGATGAAAGAGATGCTCAAAGAAAATGCACACAAAGTCACTTTCAGCAATATTGAGACTAGTCAGTTTGCTTACCTCATCATCAATAATACCATAGACATTTTATCTCATGAAGAGGATATCAAAAAATGGAAACAATGCATCAAGGATGCTCAGAAAGCTGTAGGAAAACTTGAGAAAACAAATAAAGAGTACGAAGAAGACATCGAGAAGAATCGACAGGAAATTGAGGAGTTGAAGCAGGAAGAGGAAGTGATTCTGGCAATTCAAAAGCAAGGAGAGGCTCGTGAAGAAAAGTTGCAGGGATTTTTACAAAAGGACTTGAAGAAATTTCTAGAAGGAGAGTTGGAGAAGGCGGGTTTGTCGCTAGAGAAGGAGAGTGAGGGAGATCAGACTGAGAAGATTGAGGGTGATGGAGGCAAGAAGATGGTCAAAGATGAGATTTAGGGCTTTACCATGCAATGTAAGTTACATTTCCTCCAGTCGTATGAAGTATCGGGTTTGCAGGACTAATTGTATTCTGTTTCCAGCTATCCAGATCTGAGGCGAAGACAGTTTGTAGGGAAACGGGATTCGGGATATGGGAAAAGCTTACGGTTATCAGAGCGATACATAGGTACTTACGGAAATCAAGTTTCCATATCACCAGAATTTATTCGATGATAACACAAGGTCTCATTATTATTCACTTCAACATTCACAAGTAGCATTTCTTAGCGTGCTTTTCTTGATCAAATTTTCTTTGGTGATTCACTTACTAGCTGGTCTAATTTACACATCGCTATGTTTGAGACTCATCATTTATTCAACGTTACAAAGTTTAAGGCTTTAGACATCTCCAACCCCAAGCACAAATTTGAGCACTTGCACTATTAAAGAATGTCTCGTAAACGAACCGCTCTTCAAGCAGTCTGCGAGACTGAACTGGATGATCCTTTCCAGGGGGTCAGTAAAACCAAATCTCCTCATTGTCACATCCTTATGCCGCGGTAACTAACTCTACGTTACTTACTTAGGTCAAACAAGCGCTCAAAAAATGTCAGCAGGCTATCACCACAAGATCCTGGGATGTATATTCATCGCAAGAAGACGTTGATTGGAAGAAACATGAAATCGAAGAGGACGAGGCGGGACTCCATTTATACGAAATGAACATCCAAAGAGTCGAATTTGAGATAGAGAGAAAGCGAAGAGAACTCAGATTGTTGGAACACAAAGCTCGTATATCCAGAGATGAACTTGAAGGATTCGAGAAGGAGGAGAAATCACTAAGAGTGGCTCAAGACCGAGGAGAGGAGTTTTTGAAAACGCTTTTGAAGGCTGGAAAGGATGAATTGGAGGAATTAATCAAGGAGGCATTGACTGAGGCAGAATCTTCATCTAAGGAAAGAATGAAGATGGAAAGTAGGGAGAATGAAGGCGATGTCTGATGGTGTAAGTCATAGATCCCCTTTCCGATGAATCATTTGTCTTTCCTTCACGACTTGGTGCTAACACTCCCTCCTCAACAGATCTTTCAACAAGTAGTAGAGCCAGAAGTCATGCGTGGGAACTGGGGGTACGGGACATGAGAGAATGTTACATCTATCAGCTAGACTTGACTTGACTTCAGCGGAAATCAACACTTCACATTTAAAAAGTGAACTTTACTGTCCAGGTCCTCTTTGATCTTTCGTGATATTTACTAGAGTCCCAAACCCCATTCTATCTTCCTTGATCTCCCTCAGAGCCTTGCGATCTTCCTTCTTCTTAAATACCCTCAACTTCCAAATAAAACTCAATATCTTTCAACTAGCAAATATGCCACCGAAAAGAAGCGCTTCCGAGATGAGTGGAAACTCTGGAAAGAAGAAAGATGGTGCTTCCAAGAAGTTAGGTTATCCAAGATTCAAACCCCCTTTCTCGATACGATGCCAAATTCTTTACCAACACGAAGACCAACTGATGAGCCCTTTTATCCAGATCAAAGCATTAATCAAAGAAAATCAAAGCTCAACCCGCCACAACGAGGGAGAACTTTATTCATTCTCAATGGTTCTCCAAGAAAACAAAGAGGATATTCGAATTTATGAAGAACGCATCCGAAAGCTAAAACAAGAAAATGTTGACTACGAAGAAAAAATTCGAGATTATGAGGAATACAATACCGATTGTAAAGAAAAGGTGGCAAAGCTCGAGAAGATTCAAAGCAAATTGATGAATTTGAGCAGGAGCTGAACGATAGATTGAGAACTGAAGTGGAGAAGGCGGGATTGCTTTCGGATTTGGAGGAGGTTGAGGAGGTTGAGGAGGATGGAGAAACTGAGAATGATTGTGAACCAATTTGGTTTTGAACCAGATGTTTTACTTTGCAGCGTAAGTAATTGCTCTCAAGCTTTAATGCTTATGATTCTTTTGGTCACTCATACTCACCCCTCACGAGCCAGTACTAATATTCCCGCGTCATCAGGCTTCAGACATCAGAATCGAAGATAGCGCGTGCAAGCTGGATACAAAATTGATAACGATCATAAACAAGGAGATTCAACATACCAATGGTCGCAGGAACGAAACTTGATGATATTTTATCTTGCAAATAATAACCACAAATGAAATTAATCTGCGTGAAATATTCTCTAACCTCCCACATTGATGCAGTGACGGCAACTTCCTTCCCGTGCTATCATCATCCATTAGTATAGCGGCGTGGAGTTACTCTAATATATATTCCAAGTACGCGAAAAGTCTTCACAAAAGCGTTTCTAACGATGTGTTCTGCCAATGGTTCTCACTCTTCGGCCAGCGTCCCTTAGTCTGAGCGCCTGACCCCATCATCAAGAGTCTCTTAATCAGGGGATGATGCGGTTGCAACCACCCGGGATTTTTTGTTTTTATTTTCTAGGGAAGTTAATTCATCTTTTTGTGGTGATTGTAATTTTTTTGAATGAGCGGGTGGAGTCTGGTTGTGATAGGTTTAGGAGTATATCTTCACTTCATACATACTTCATTCACTGCCCTCGCTTAGACGATATTTTACAAAATGTGGGTCAATGTTTGGAAATAACATTGGGAAATCTTTCATTGCGTTGTCCATTTTGGATGCCCAGACCTAGAAAGTATTCAGAAAAAAAAACTGTGAATGAGGAATAATCACTTCCAATATACAACTCACATCTCCAACATGGGAACATTCACCGACCCTGACTTCAATATTTCCTTCCTTACCTTCTATCCTTCTTAAATTCTTCCTCGGCCTTCGTCTCATGCGCCTTCAACGTCAAAAGCTTGTCTGATCTCAAATACTTTAAGAATTCGAAAGTAGTGCACCTCAAACTACAAGTTCAAACTCTAACTCCCAAGCTACAACCATGGAGCCCAACAACAACGAAGTGACAGGCAAAAATGTTGGACAGATGGCAAGCTCGACCCAATTATGCAACCCACCCTTTGCGCTTTACACTCTTCCTCTTCATTACTTGTAACAAGAACCCGCAATTGACTAACATACCACCGTGCAGTCCGGCTCCCAAGTCCTCAAGGCCGTCACTCAACAGCCCACACAATCCACAGAAACAATTGCACAAACTCAACATGCCATTCGCGAACACCAAAAACAAATCGAAGGCTTCCAGATAAAATTCAGAAACATTTACAACAAATTGCAGCGTTACGACAAGAAGAGCAAGCCCTTTTAAAGGAACAAACACTCTTCGAGGTTGAAGAATTACAGTGCGAGCTTTGTGATGTCGATAAGGAAATTGAACGACGCGAAGTCGAGCAAAGAAAAAGGATATGATGGCGAAACAGATATTGGTACACGAAATCTCGTACGAAAGGGGAGTTCTGAAATAAGCTGTACGGCATTGACCGGTAAGTTTCTTGTGATTTCCTTGTTTCTCGTGCATGCAAAAACATTGGAATGTCTTTCCGAATCCATCACTAACCTGTATATCCTTTTTACAGATGGCGAGAGCTGGGAATAAAGATCAATCTTTTGACAGGAAGCGAAGGAATACTAAAGACATATATGAATTCCATAGTAGACCCTCTGTGGCTGGATGTTTGGAGTGGACTGTTGGTTAGGCGAAAGGAATGACGGACAATATTCGACTATCCGAACGTTGGAGGTCATCGCTCCTATATTTCATCCAGCCGAACATTATCAACTTCATTGCAGGTGATAGGGATAGGATAGATCTTACAATATTGAACGACTGGGAAAGCGTTAGGCAGAAACTGGATACTGCTTTCAAATTCGACATCTATGATATTGAATGGATGAAGTGATGTTAAGCCTTCACCGATGAAGGTTGTTCATAAAAACGTTCGTAAATCTAGAAATCAGCATCAAGACTTTCTTGTATATGCATCCTGTCAAAGCTTGCTAAGGTGATCTTGGATTTTCCTTCGAATATAATGGGAGATAAAAATTCCGATGTGGTGGCTAGCATGTAGAGAAAGGGTCTTGCACGTGATATATGCGTGCCTTTTCAAGTTAGCTACCCATTGCATGCAAAAGTGCGACTAGCGTCGACGTCAAATGCTTCTCGACCAATCTTTGAAGCTAACTTCGTTAATTGCTCTAAAATAATATCTTTCCCACACGAAATCAATGAATCAAATGAGAAGATATGACTTATCAAGATATTTTTTACCAGCATGACCATACAACCTTGTCATCTATGACGAACCTTTAACGCGGACGATATAACCCAATTCAATTGGAACCAACAAATCCTATTCAATGTCAAGAATTCTGTACCTGAGCAAGCGAAAGAAAGGAGAAATTGTCGATCTTTCGGACAAAGTTTACCGTTTTGAAATGCTCAACTCGCTCCAATTGACCAATCGGGGGTGTCGCTACGGCTCTTATATATTGGCCTGCATTGGAAATACCGGACCAAGACCTTTGCCACACGCCGACCAAAGAATGCAATCTGAGGACCTTTCCGATAATTCAACAATCTATTGCATGTTTGCCACATGGTTGGGTTTTAAATTCGGATCTTTCCTTGCTTGACAGCAGGCATCGTTTCCATTCTGACAAAACCGGTTGTCTATCTGCATATCAAAAATAGCCTTGATATAACATCATTGAAGCTCCGTCTAGCTAGGCCTTTAATACTTGTTGTGGTATGATATGTTATGCCGATACAGGAAACTTGCTCATTATCATACGATTATATTGCAAGATGGATCGAAATCAAGTCGTGAAGCATCATCATTCATCAATCGCCCACGAGGCTATAGCTGTCTCGAAATGCGTCGTTCGGATGCACGTCGTATAACAATATAAAATTGGCCGATTGACACTTCAATCCCAACGATATATCACGATGATCGCGCCAAGCGTGGAGATATGGGGCTAGCCGATCCCTGAAGCTTAGCTGCTGTAGTATCATAAATTCTCCACAACGGCTACGTCCCGTCTTCGAGCTGAACGAACTCATGTGCACGGTGCACATTGTATTATCAAAAAAGAGAATATCAGAAAACACACATATCTACGATATGTATGATATGTTACCTAGGTAGCTACAGATATGCTTGAAATGAAGTAAAACTGTACCATCCGATCAATCATACTCCTTGGAAGAATCTATCCCGATTTGAAATACAAAGATTGATTGATTGATTAACAATCGAATTTTTAAAAAGCGTTTGATTTTTGTCTGCACATGATTTTATTCAGCCCGAGCCACATTAACCAATATATCATGGGCAAGTCGCTGATCTTTGGGTGCTGAAGCTATCCCCATGGATCCTCGCTTGCCCCCCTATCCTTGGAAAGCTGAATCCGGCATTCCGAAAAGTGGCTCATACTTGGTGATATTATATGTCAGGAACCGATGGTAGTCTATGGGATTGGTCTTCGGCAATCACTATCCAAGTTTATACTCAGCTTCACATAATCGGATTATCCAATGATCACCATGTTAGTTCCCTGGATGATATTGCTTTTTCTATTCTTATCAATATCACTTCCAGCGATAGGATAGAGCATGCTCTATGTTATCGTCACCTTGTGCTAAATATCAAGAAGATTCATGAACTGACATCATGTATCTGACCTAAGGTATGGCTGAGCTACGTTGGCCACCAAGAGAGTAATAAGAACAGGCTCAGAAAAACCTATAAAGTGCAAGACGTTTCCTCTTCACAATCATCATCAGTTCATTCTCAGCATCATCATCACAATAAACTTTAAGAAAATAACTTTTGCTTTCACAAAATAACCAAACAAAATCCTTCATCAATATGTATTTCTCAAGAGTTAGCACCATAGTCAGCATGACTGCCTTATTCGCATCTGCTTTGCAATGCCTGCAACTCTTGTATCTCGACAAGATGCTATCTGCAGTAGCAGCAATCCTCAATACTGCGACACTAAGGGCTAGTTGGATATAAAATCCGTGCTGAATCCGCTGAAATAATCTACACTTTGTGCCAT